CCCTGGGAAGACGGATTGACTGCTAAAGCACTCTGGGAAATGTAGCTCTGGGAGGGGAATAGGGAGCCTCAACCCCCCTGTGGTAACAAACCACAGCTCCCAGAATCCTTTTTTTGGAGGGGGAGCCATGACAGTTTGAAAGCACTGATACCACTGTGAGGTATGGTGTGAATGTGGCCTTAGAATTTCCCACCTGCAATTCCATCAAATATGCTCAATACACTTGCTGTGTAATAGTAACACACACACTTTCAAAAAGGCTGCGGCTCAGTGGTACGGCACATTTTTTGCAAGTAAAAGGTCTTGTGTTCAGTCCCTGGCACTTCCATCAGGAGGCGAGTGATGAGAGAGACTCTTTCTGTCCTGGAGCTGGTGCCAGTCACAGCATACAATATTGGGCAGGACATGTTATAAGCCAGCTTCCTATGTCCCTAAGTCATTATAACAAGAAGCGGATAGTAAATTCAACGAGGCTGCATTCCCACAACACTTCATCCCATTTCCCCGAAGTTTCCTTACGTGATCATTTTTGTGCTTTATGTGGTCTTTCACATGCGATAAAAGGTACTTCTGGGAATCTAGCGGAAGTTTAAGGAATGAGGAAAAGGGAACATTCTATTTGATTATATGGGTTTATTTTGTGGGAAGCTGTAGGACTCAATCTGAATAAAGTTTAAATCAATAGACTTGCTTAGTATGCTTTTGGTTTTATTTCCTTGGGGTGGGTGGGTGGAATTAAAAGTAATGATGACCCAAATAAACGGGCAGGTTTGTACAGGGAGAGGAGGTCCACTTATGTGGCCAAATGTAAAGGGGTTTGCTCAGGAACATTATTAGGACTGAGGACTGGACCAGTTCCTTGCCCTCAGGGACCATGGCATCTAGAACAACGGTTCTCAACCTGTGGGTCCCCAGATGTTGTTGGACTACAACTCCCATCATCCCTGAGCTCTGGCCTTGCTAGCTAGGTGTGATGGGAGTTGTAGTTCAACAACATCTGGGGACCCACAGGTTGAGAAAGGCTGATCTAGAAGAAAGGTGCTGCTTTGCTTCCTGTTGGCTCAGGTTGCAACCCATTTGCCCCGCAGAGCTTACTGGAAGCCAGGAAGAAGAGGCTCCTACCTGCTTAACTCTGCCACTTTGTCTGCATATTAGCCTTCCCCAACCCAAGTGCCTGGCCATTGGCAGCACTGGCTAGGACTGATAATTTGCCAACATTTGGAGAGCACCAGGTTGGACTGCATTTCTGTGATGATGGCACTGGTTCTGATACCTGCAAAAGATTCCATTTTTAACCTGTGACGTCAGCCAAGGCTGAGGGCAACGCCTTCCCTTTCTCAATGCCATGGGAAGAAGACATGAAGATGCTTCACTCTGAGCCAGACTCTTGCGTCCAACCAAACTCACAACTGTCTACTCTGACCGCTTCAGGATCTCAAGCAGAAATATGTCCCAGTTGTGCTTATCAATACCCTTTTCAACAGCTCATGCTGGGGACTAGAACTGTGACCGTCTGCATGAAAAGCAGGGGACCACTTCTGCTTCCATTTCCTAAGGACTGGGGAGGAAAATCACCTGTGTGATAGCCGCTACACCAGACCTGCATAACTAAAGCAACATGTGTTGGGTCCATGAACAACAGCTCTTCAGACAGCTGTTTCTCTGAAGGGAGGATGGAGATTGCTTTATGGTAGGGTGGAGACATCGGCTGTTTGAATCTGTCCCACCTCACTGTCCCACCCACTGTTCACTAACATTATATATGGGGTTGCTTTATAGCCGAACTGGAAAACTAGCAAGACCCAGCTAAATATACAGCCTGACTCTTGAAAAAGCACACACACCAATGAAATCAGAAAGGCAGAAATCTCCTGAGTGTAGTGTACACACACACAGTGGTGATAGTTTATGATATGGCTGCAAATTTGTTTTTTGTTTTTTTCGGGACTGTGCATCTGTTACGAGGTTCACTTGCCAAAATATAATTCTTTATGGCAACAAGCGTTGCACGGCGCTTAAGGTTCTGCACCTCAGTGCCAGGAATCTCAAATGGGATAATTCCATGACCTTGAAAATCCAGCAGATGCATTCCACATCTGCCCAGGCTGGGAAAGCCTGATGTTGTTGTGTGAAAAAGCAGGGTGGGAAACAAGATCTCAAAAATGTCTGAAGGAAGACAAGGGAGGGGGAGGGGAGAACTGACAGGAGGTTTTTAAAATACTTTCCCCCCCCCCAGCCTTTGTTCACTAGTTTTCACAGATCAAACTGCAAACCTGTTACACACTGGGAACATAGGAAACTTCCATATACTAAGGTCAGATGATTTGTTTACATAGCCCAATATGCAGCAAGTGTCCAACAGAGGTGCGCACAACAACCTGTATATTTTGTTCAGTGTCAGTTTTGAATGCATTCAGTCTGAAATTTGTTCCATCCCATTTAAATCATGCATTTAAATTGGGTGCACAGTCCCCTAAAATGTACATTCTGAATGGATTCCTCTAAAAAATATGTTTTATTTCTGTGCCTTTTCTCCTAAAATACACGTTTTTGTATGCATTTTCACTTTGAAAACACATGTTTCCGCGCATTGAACCAAACCGCACCTGATCCTTTTAACTGGCGATGCTGAGGACAGGTGCTTCAGGATGAGAACGGAGAGAGAGAAGGGCAGAAAGGCACTTGTAGGGCACACAGGTGACTTCGATCACACAGTGTTGAATAAGTGTGTGTGTGTGTGTGTGTGTCAGGCCATGGGGAATCCAGAAACCCAGGAGAGCAGGGGGAAATATTTTACCTGTCTTGAATAAGACTCTCAGACCCAATGAATGAGCCAATCCCCTCACCACAAGTCAACCTAAGGCAGAGATGGGGGGAACTCATCCCCTCCCACGTTTTCTGATTTTTTCCCGATTATTTCAAATCTTTGAAAGGAAATATTTTTCTTTGTTGTATCGTTTTTGTTTATGCTTTATTGACGTGGAATGTTATCAGAAAAGCAGAGAAATAAAATATGCAAAGAAAACAACAACAATCGGGCAGGATACAATCCAGCAAAACCAAATGCAACATTATTAATTTAGCCAAAAGAATATTATCGCATAGATGTGCTCCCTTATTTCGGAATTCTGTCTCAGCCCCCCACTTCACACACACACACACCCTACACACGGATACAGCTCACACCTGTGTTTCAACCCAGCACACCGCTTAGAAACAGCAGGGGGGCGGTATAGAGATAAGTGGGAGGCAGGCAACTCCCTGCTGTTTCGACACAGAGTGCTAAATTCTCCAGGTCTGTTATGGCTGTAAATCCCCATGAAACGAGGTTTTAAATGATGAGAACCAAAAGTTCAGGACTGCAGAGTTGCTGAATAAATCTATGCTACAGACCTGAAGCAGTTTAACACTCATATACTTTCTCTCTCTCTCTCTCTCTCTCTCTCTCTCTCTCTCTCTCTCTCTGGGAATTGCAGTTCTGGGAAAGAGTGGCAACTGGGCTGCGAAGTATTTCTCAGTGGCTGCATTCACGTGGCGGGTTATTCCACTTTCACAACACTTCCTTAATGCCAAAGAAATGAATATGTAATAAACTAGAAAGGGAAGTTGGGGGAAGTCGTGTGTGTGTGTGTGTGTGTGTTAATTGAAAATATAAAATGTAATTTGCATTTTTGATCATGCTAAAATTTGTTATAAAATCTCAATTAAAAATAAACAACACTTCCCTAAATTTTAATTTCCACATTAAAGCTGAGCTTTCACACGATGTTAGAAGCTGCTTCTGGAACAATAGTGTGATAATAGCACAAGTATAGTACTGATTCCCATATTATTTGCAAATGGATTTTTTTCTGGAAGCAAAAAGCATGGAAATGAGCACTGTATTCCATGATTGTTCCAGAAGTGGCTTTTACATTGTGCGAAAGCTCAAACGTAATGCGGAACTTAACAGTTTTCAAATGTAATCTGTTCTGGAAGACCGTTTGACTCCTGAAACGTTCGACAACTAAGGAGCAATGGGTGGTCAGCAAATTCCATTGAGAAAATGGAGAAACACGCCTAGGAAGCCATTTGACTTCCGAGGCGCGTTTGAAAACAGAAGCATTCACTTCCGGGTTTTTGCATTTGGGTTCTGAATCGTTCAGCTCTAGAGATGCTCAAAAACTGAGGTTCCATTATATTCTAGAAAACAGGTCGGCATCTCTATGGGCAGGCTTTTGGAGGAGGGGTAAGGTGAAGAATTCCTGGTTTGGGCTTTTATAGACCTGGCGAATATTTTAATGTTGCATCCCCCCCCCGCCGCCTTTCTTCCCTGTGTGTTGGAGGTATGGAATTCTTTTCATTTTGATGCATTCCCCTCCCCCCATTGTACTGTTTCATGTTTTTATGGATGTAAATTGCTCTGGGGCCTACTGGCAAAGGGCAGCATGCAAAACGTTTAGACAAAATGAACTCACTCAAGGCTCCCAAAGGAAGCATACACCCCAAGGAAGTAGAAAGACAGAAAGTCAGGTTTTGCATCCATGGCAGTGACCCGAGGAGGAATGACCACTGAAAGGAGCGCACACCATAGTGCATCTGCATCAGCACAACCGGACGCCTTCATCTGCCCCAGCTGCAACAAAACATGTCTCTCTCGTGTTGGTCTCTACAGCCACAGCAGATCCTGCAAACTCCCAACGGTTTGACTTCACCCCCAAAGGCGGGCGCCTCCACTGTCTCCAAGACTGACGGGTGCCAACACACACAACACCAGTTGAATCTGCACCCAGAATTCTTTGCAAAACAGTTGCTTTTGCTTTTATCCACAGCACATCGATCCATGCGCTCAGTTTGCAAAACCAGCTCACGTACTCTAATGCTCGCTTGCACAAGGCCTCCTTGCAGTTCTGAGCTTGGAATCTTATCCGCGGTCCCAGTTAACAGAGCCGATGCAATGCAGTCACTTGATAGTTATATACACTTTCGGGAATTGTGCCAGGTTAGAAAGCCAGGCTTACCTCTGTGATGATGAAAAAGTCATCTCCTGGCTCTCCCTGAACAACTATCTTTTCTCCGTCTTCAAACTGGACTGGTTCTAGAGCATCTGCCACAGTCAACCGCTCCCATTTGTCGAGAGATTCTGAAACATGGAAGAACACAAGGAGGGTTTTTCTCAATGCACCTGTTTATTTGTGTTGGTTTGCCTCTAAAAGTTTAACAGACCTTTTCTACAAGCACCAATCCAGACACAAAAGTTGTTGAGCTTTTTTCTTACTTTTTTTAGTTTTGCCCAAAGTTGAGCTTTTTGACGTTTTAAAGCTATTTTTAAGGGAATTCGCCAAAATCTAGACTTCAGACATTGGTTGCCATATGTCCGGATTTTCACTGACATTTCAGTGATTTCCACCTGGGCACTGCTTCCAACTGCAGTATTCCAGCTATGTCAGGGAAATTCTGGACTTATGGCAACCCTAAGCACCAATCAAAACCCATTTCACCCTGCCCACATCATTCCGTCAAAATGGTGGGTAACTTAAACAGGGTTGTGCAACTCTACTTTTAAAAGACCTTTTGCCCTTTGCATTTGCACTTAAAATGATAAATGGATTTAATTTGCCTCTTACAAGCGTAGGTCCTGGGACCTTTCCATTGCCCGCTCTGATTTGCCGTAATTGGCACTCTTAAAATTATCGCTGCAATGCAGGTCCTTTCTGGCAGTCTGGAACGGATGATATCCCAGACCTTCTGCTAAGCATGGCAAGGGTAATTGCAAGTTCTCCTTTTTGTGATGCAATAAGAAGTTCAAGTGCATTTCCCCTCCCCAAGCAAAAATGGTAAAGGGCTATTGTCTAATAGGCGTGTTGCAGGGTGCAAACCAGGATGGTGTTGGTGGTGTAATAGGATTGGGAGGCTGAGGAGTCAGTGAGGATTGGAAATATAAAGGACACCTAACAGGGGACAGCAGGCAGTAGGCAGGATTCAGGGGAGATGCAGATTCAGGGAAGGTTACAGTAGAGAAGAGGGGCAAACTCAGCAGAGGTACAAAGACGTTTCCCTAGTCTCTGGGAAACAACAGTGGAAGACAGCTATTTCCCTTTGTTTGGTGGCTTTCCAGAGGCACGTGATTGGCCACTGTGGGAGCAGGATGTTGGACCAGATTGGCCCCTGGTCTGATCCAGCAGGTCCCTTCTTATATCTGTTAAGTTTGAAGGTGGGAAACAACTTTGACCCACCTGCTAGCAGCCTCTTCAAGCCTGCAGCCAGAAATTTTAGCAGTGTTGGAGTCTAAACTTACAGAGGGTGAAATACAGGTAATCTGATATGGCAGGAGTTATTTAATGCTATTACATCTGAATAATATTAAATTCAACGTGATGGCATCCAAAAAACAAGGCTCTGGTGACTGAGTGATTCCAAAATCTTAGGAGGTGGGAGCAGGTTTTATACTGTAAATAATTTGGAAGATGCATGCTTTCGTGCTTTGTTGTTGCTTTAAATAAAAGCTGAAAATCCAGAGTTAGATCTGAGCCAGCCAGGGTCCTATTGCCCGCCGTCCCATGGTTATGGGCTGAATGCTTCCTTTTATAGGTAGGGTGCCAATGATGCTGCCTGGGGCAGCTGCCCCACTCTGCCTAATGGTAGGGCAAGAAAAGTATAGAATCATAGAATGGAATCATAGAATCATAGAGTTGGAATAGACCACAAGGGCCATCGAGTCCAACCCCCTGCCAAGCAGGAAACACCATCAGAGCACTCCTGACATATGGTTGTCAAGCCTCTGCTTAAAGACCTCCAAAGAAGGAGACTCCACCACACTCCTTGGCAGCAAATTCCACTGTCGAACAGCTCTTACTGTCAGGAAGTTCTTCCTAATGTTTAGGTGGAATCTTCTTTCTTGTAGTAAAGAAACGAGGCTGAAAAGAGGGTGCAGATTTGCATAAAGTTTGCATAGTTTATTTTTTTATGTGTAGGTGCCATTTTAAAAATCATTACTCCAATTTAAATAGAAATCCAATACATTTAATCATAGTGGGGCTGGCTGTGTCAAGGAGACTTGCATGCCCACTCATCCTGTTCCCTGTTGATGAGCAAGGTCAATGAGTTATCTATCTTTAATCCAGACTTGGACCACACTCCTCCAATTAAGGGCTGTCCTCTGAGAGCCCTTCAAATGGTGCGCTCAATACATGAACGCATATGAACACCTTGAAGCCGCCTTTTACCAAGCCAGAGGGCTGTCGCATGGAAGATGGAGGAAGCTTGTTTCTCCTGCTCTGGAGGCTAGGCCCCGAACCAATGGCTTCAAGTTACAAGAAAGGGGATTCCGACTAAACATACAAGCAATATTAAGAACTGCTTTCATCTAGTGGGGGGGGGAACATTTCTCACCTGTCAACTGGGAAACCTAATAGTTTATGGCACAATCATATCTCTCCACACTCCCTGCATTTTCTGACTGCCCAAATGAGAAATGACTGCTCAACTATTCCAGGAAGGGTTGCACTCGTACAAAACCCTGCTGTGGTAGGCATGGGAGAAGAGGAAAATTATGACTGCCCATGCCAGGAGTCCTGTGTCTTTCTTATCTCTGCCAGGAAGATGCTAAGGCGAAGTCTTGGTGTTAAATCAGTGATGTTGTTGCCAACATTTCATTCAAAGTAACAAATGCGTCTGTGACTGCTGGCGGCTGGGTGGCCATCCTCTCCCACTCCAGTACACCTGTGAACCAGCCCGTGGCAAATCATTTTATCTGCATGCAGAGGGTCCTAGGTCCAGTCCCCCAGGATGGGCTAGCAAAGGCTCCTGTCTAATATCCTTGGGATAAGAGTTATGCTGCCAGTTCATCTAGATCAGGGGTGAGGAATTTCGGTCCAGAGACTAAGTGAGGCTTTCCAGACCTTTGTGCCTGGCCCTTGGGGACTCACTGCAAGCCACACCCCTTACACACCTTTTTGCCTGGAATGTGTCCTGTGCTAATGCCTCTTGCTTGCCTGGATGGAGCGCGTGTGTGTGTGTGTGTGTGTGTGTGTGTAAACCTCTTGCTTATAAATGGCTGGAATGTAGCCTACTGTACAAAGGAAAGAGTTGCATCTGTTGCTCTAGCTGTTGGTTGCAACTCACCTTGCAACAGAGGGATCTGCACGAAGCTAATGCCAACAAAAGTGAGAGTTCTCCATGTTCCCAAACTATCCCTCTACCTTTAAATCTATGCTGACTTCTCTCTCTATCTCTTGGCTGTTTACACTGATACATCTTAGGTTGCATCCTGTTTACAGGTCCCTCCTCCTCCTCACTGGGTGATCTTGGGCCAGGCACCATCACTCAGCCTAAGCTACCTCACGGGGTTGTCGTGAGGATAAAAATGGAGCAGAGAAGAATTACGAACAACAGCTTTTGCTCCTCAGAAGAAAGACAGGATATAAAAGTAACAACAACAACAGAAGCAGCAACAGCAGAATTGGGGGGGGGGCATACAGTAGCTAGAATACAGTGGTACCTTGGGTTACATATGCTTCAGGTTACAGACTCTGCTAACCCAGAAATAGTGCTTCAGGTTAAGAACTTTGCTTCAGGATAAGAACAGAAATCGTGCTCCGGCAGTGCGGCAGCAGCAGGAGGCCCCATTAGCTAAAGTGGTGCTTCAGGTTAAGAACAGTTTCAAGTTAAGTACGGACCTCCAGAACGAATTAAGTACTTAACCCGAGGTACCACTGTAGTGCATTTCAATTGCTATGAACTGGCAGAAATGTCAACAGGTGGTCTGCCAAGATCCTAAGCAATTTCCCAATGATCTGCAGAATATTGAGTTTGGGAACAATTGGGCTACAGCGAACCCCATGTGAAGGCGATGGCAGAAAGGACTGCACCACTTCAGACTGTGTTGGTGGGAGAAAAAGGCATTTTTGGAGGCTCCTCTATATTAAAAACCCTCCCGCAAAAACAAGACAGAAAATATCCAGCTCATCAGGGAGAAATGCTCTAACTAAGCCCACTGCCAGCTGTGGTTGTTTTTGAATTGCTGGGAGTAATTTTACATATGGGAGATTTCCTCTTTTCTTTTTAAAGATGCATCTCCCGCCTGCAGTCTGAAGTACAGCAGCCTGTTCTCACAACCTTAATTTGCTGTGTTGTGTGGACCAGGCTTTATACGTGTGCACACAGGCTTTCTGCGTATTTACCGCTTGACCACCGTATATTTTTCATCGGTGCAACAATATCCAAAAGGAAAGGAAAGGCAACACACCCAAGATGGAGACCTTGCTGAGGAATTCTTCATACATCTTCCGCTTCCTCAGGGTGCTGCCCTGAAAGAGAATGAGAAAAGGGAGTAAGTGAAGCCAATAAGCCTTGCCTTGTAGGAACTGGAGAAAAAAGTCCCTGCTGTCTAGCAGTCTGTCTCTCCAGCAGTGGCCAGCCAGAAGTTGTCTCCTGTTGGAAGTAAGAGGAAGGGTCATTGCTCAGTGCTGGAACAGGTGCCAGTTAACATCTTATATGTAACTGTGCCTTTTTGTAGCATTTGTTGTTGTTTAAGTTGTCTGCTGTTGTTGCTTTAGTTTTCTGTATATCACATATTTGTGCAGGAGCTGTGCCTGAGAAGTATCAAAGTGCCTCTGAACCAATACTTAGTCCACAGGATTCCTGTTACAGCATGTGAACTCCGGGACTCCCAAAACTAAATGCAATACTCTATCCGCCACCCCAGAGGTGGGGAAACCCGTGACCCTCTAGAACAGCCTTTCTCAACCTGTGGGTCCCCAGATGTTGCTGAACTACAACTCCCATCACCCCTAGCTAGCAAGGCCAGAGCTCAGGGATGATGGGAGTCGTAGTCCAACAACATCTGGGGACTCACAGGTTGAGAACCGCTGCTCTAGAACATGGGTAGGCAATCTAAGGCCCGCAGGCCGGATCAGGCCCAATTGCCTTCTGGATCTGGCCCGCGGACCGTCCGGGAACTGCCACGTGGATCGCCAGCGTGCGTGTTCTTTCCCTCTCCCTCACATAGCAGCGGTGGTGGCTCCTCCCTCCCTCCCTCCCTCCCTCCTCCCTCCTGGCTTCTCCCTGCCCTGCCTAGCGGAGGGAGGGGGCTGGGCTTTGTTAGTGCCAGCAGTAGCAGCACTCGAGCGGCCGCCATTTTAAGCAGCTCCTCTCTGGAGCCCTTTCACACGCCGCTCATCATCCTGCCGCCAGCCCCTGCCGCTTGCAAGACACAGGTAAGCAGCCACCGGGGCTCATGGTGCTCTTGCATCATTTCCCCCCCCCCAAAAAAAAATAGTCCGGCCCCCCCAAGGTCTGAGGGACAGTGGGCCAGCCCCCTGCTGAAAAAGTTTGCTGACCCCTGCTCTAGAAATTCCAACTCCCATAATCTCTGATCATTGGCCAGCGTGGTGTAATGGTGAGAGTGTTGGACTAGGACATGGGAGAGCAGGGTTCGAATCCCCACTCAGCCATGAAGCTCACTGGGTGACCTTGGGCCACTCACCACCTCTCAGCCTAACCTACCTCACAGGGTTCTTGTGAAGATGGAATGGGGAGGAGGAGAACCAGGTGTACCACCTTGAGCTCCTTGGATGATAAAGGTGGTATACAAATGCAATAAAGAAATAAAACGCTGGCTGAGGTTGATGGGAGTCGGAGTCCAGCAATAACAGGAGGGTCATTGGTTCCCCACCCCTAGGAAGACAGGACCACTGGGTTCACCTGGCTCAATATGGTCTACCAGGGGTCAGCAAATGTTTTCAGCAGGGGGCTGGTCCACTGTCCCTCAGACCTTGTGGGGGGCCGGACTATATTCTTTTTTGTCGGGGGAATGAACGAATTCCTATGCCCCACAAATAACCCAGAGAGGCATTTAAAACAAAAGTACACATTCTGCTCATGTAAAAACACACTGCTTCCCGGACCGTCCGTGAGACGGATTGAGAAGGCGATTGGGCTGGATCCAGTCCCTGGGTCTTAGTTTGCCTACCCATGGGCTACACTGACTAGCGGTGGCTCTCCAGAATTTCAGGCACAGGGCATTCCCAGCCCTACCTGGAGGTGCCAGAGGCTGAAGCAGGAACCTTCTGCATGCAAGACAAATGTCCCGGCACTGAGCCACGCCCTTCCCCGTGCTGCACAATGTAGTTTCGCTGCGATGCTGCCAAGATGCACAAGTTATTTCCCACAATGTGCACTTGCAGTTTTTGTTTTCTTGCTTCGGATTGCATCTGCTGCTGTCTCCCTGCTCCTCCGAAACTTCAGCGCTGCCAAAGCAAACAGCCTAAGGAGAAAGTTCTTTTGCAGCTCTACCTGGGATCAGTTAAGCCCCCAAGAAGGAAAAGCAAAAGGGGGGTGTCAAATTAATGCCTGGTGGAGCTCCGCCAGCTTTCTCACCACACAGACCAAATGAAACCAAGCTGGGTGAATCTGGGCCCATCACTCTTTTCTTTCTTCTCAACAAGAAAGGCTAAGCAGAGGCATCTATCTGCTAATCGCTCGATTAAACTGCCTCGTTATCCTCTAAAAGTTAAGCAAGCCTGTAATTAAAACAAGAGGAAGCTATTCAAGTGACAGTGCTGTGTCCCCAAAGGCCTGATTGAGAATGGAGCTCGTCGCCTGGTTTCCTATCTTATATATGTCTCTGTCTCCCTGGGGGTGGAGGGGCGGAAGCACAGGATATAAGGGAGCCTATAGTGAAAGGGGAAATTATGGACACACACTAGGACACATGCAGAGAGCTTCCCTCTCCACTGGAGTCAATGGAGAAACCTGTTCGTACAGGAGTTCTCCATGCGCCCTGGAGTATGTAAAGGGCTGTGAATTAAGATGGGTGGATGAAATCTAGAGAAAGGCAGCCGCTCCTAAGGTTGCAGTCCTACGTACCAGTTGCTTTTCATTCTGAATTTTTGTATCCTGCCCTCATAATGTACAACTGGGTATTAAGATCTGATACTTAAATAAATAACACTTAGGAGTAGGTGGTCTTGTGCCCTGCTTTGCCTAGATAAGTTCTCTGTTTAAAGCAGCGGTTCGCAACCTGTGGGTCCCCAGATGTTGTTGGACTACAACTCCCATCATCCCTGAGCTCTGGTCTTGCTAGCTAGGGGTGATGGGAGTTGTAGTTCAACAACATCTGGGGACCCACAAGTTGAGAAAGGCTGGTTTAAAGGGTAGCCACAGCACTGCCCTCTGTTTAAAAGGCCTGCCGGCTCAAAGATGAAGAACACTAAGGAGGGAGAGCAAGAGCAGCCACGAAATTTCCCAGCCACGGTTGGGCTATTAGCCATGATGGCTACGCTCTGCCTCCACCACTGGAGGAAGCAATGCTTCTGAATACCAGCTGCTGGAAACCTCAGGAGCTGAGAGCGCTCTTGTGTTCAGATCCAGTGTGAAGGTTTCCCAGAGGTATCTGACTGGACATTGTAAGAACAGGATGCTGGACCAGATGGGCCATTGGCCTGATCCAGCAGGTTCTTCTCACGTTATTATGTTGCTCAAGGGGCCTGAGCAGGCACACAGGTCACCTGGACACAGTCATAGAGTTGGAAGGGACCATGAGAGTCATCTAACTCTAATAATAATAATAATAATAATAATAATAATAATAATAATAATAATAATATATTATTATTATTATTTCTACCCCGCCCATCTGGCTGGGCTTCCCCAGCCACTCTGGGCGGCTTCCAACAAAATATTAAAATACAGTAATGCAACAAACATTAAAAGCTTCCCTAAACAGGGCTGCCTTCAGATGTCTTCTAAAAGTCTGGTAGTTGTTGTTCTCTTTGACATCTGGTGGGAGGGCGTTCCACAGGGCGGGTGCCACTACCGAGAAGGCCCTCTGCCTGGTTCCAACTCCTGCAACACAGGAACCTTTTGCCCAAAGTGGGGCTCGAACACACAACCCTGAGAGTAAGAGTCTCCTGCTCAGCTACCCCAATCCTCCCCACTATGGTGAATTCCTATCTAAAATTATAACAATTTCTAAATTTGCACCGATACATATAAATTAGCATATGCAAATACACATGCAGGTATTTTGTTTTCTTTTTATTATTATGTGTAAATGACCACCCTCTCTTTGGGAGCAGGTTTAGTGGAACTCATTGTGGCTAACTTCCCAGCAAAGATGCACAAGACTGGGCTGCATGGCCCATTTCATCCAGGGGGACTTTGTTTCGGAGGGGGACGCTCACCAGGCAGTGGGGAGCTCCACTCTCCTTTCCTTCCAGCTGCTGGGAAGCAGCCTCAGAGCGATCCACGCCCCGCTGTGCACAGCCCCCCCGGTTTAACTGCAAGGCTTTTCAGATCTGCAATCAACGCTTTAACCGATTTATCACACCAATTAGCCGGTTCGAGCTTGCAGACTTAATGCCGAGCTGTACCAAATCACTTCCTGTCTTCCTCTTCTGTGGCTCCGCACCTGCCAGCCCCACACTTGGAGGAGGCCACAAAAAAAGACTTAGCAGAGGGGTGACATGTTAATCTATCAAGGACCGGGGAAGCAGAAGCTGGGCTGGGCGGCTAAGCCGTAAACAAACACTGGGATGTTTGCTTATAGCAAAGGGGGAAAGGGCACCTGCCTCGTCTTCCTTGCGAGGAAAGGGTCTGATAAACTAAGAGAGGAGGCAAGGAAGTGGACAGCGGCTACAAGGAGCAAGCAGAGGGCATCCTTCTCTATGCTGACAGTAAGCTCGTTCTCCAAGCGATGACCTTTATTCAGCCAGCAGCCTTACCCCCCAGGCAAGGTGAAGCGGTAGCCTCAGAGGCACCCGATTCTGGGTGTCATGAAAGGGCAGCAATTTGTTAGTCATCTAATTTATTATTTATGCCAGGGAGGTGGGAGAGGCCCCTGGAGGAGTTTCTGCATTCAGGTGCCAAAATAAGTTGGCTGGACTTGGGTACGTACCAAGCACCTTGATTTGTGATGGGGGGGGGAGGTGTGTATATTGGCTGCTTCGCTTCAGGCAACAAATAATCTGATGCCAACCCTGCCAAAAAGGCATCAGTTCAGGGATGAAGGTGGGGAAGAAATGTGAATGCTGAAACAATACCTGAACCGAAACATGGCTATACTTTGACATTCACATTTCTCTGAATTTTGCTATGTAGTTCTCCAGCCAAGAAATGTGTATAAATATACAGTGGTACCTTGGGTAACAGATGCTTCAGGTTACAGATGCTTCAGGTTACAGACTCCACTAACCCAGAAATAGTACCTCGGGTTAAGAACTTTGCTTCAGGATGAGAACAGAACTCGCATGGTGACGGCGGCGGGAGGCCCCATTAGCTAAAGTGGTACCTCAGGTTAAGAACAGTTTCAGGTTAAGAACGGACCTCCAGAACGAATTAAGTTCTTAACCCGAGGTACCACTGTACATATATACCAGCACAGCCTTCCTCAATCTTGGCTCCCCAGCTGTTGTTGGACTACAACTCCCATCATCCCTGACCACTGGTCTTGATAGTTAGGGATGATGGGAGTTGTAGTCCAACAACATCTGGGGATGGAAGGTCGAGAAAGGATGCATTCGAGTGAAACTCTGCATTAAAATGCATATATTAGTAAAAATAACCCACAAAAGTGCATTATATTAGTGAACATCGCTTTGCAAAAATGTGTTTAAGAAGGATGTTGACAAGTTGGAACATGTGCAAAGAAGGGCGACCGAGATGATAAAAGGTCTGGAAACTGAGCTGTTGAGGGAGCTGAGTGTGTTTAGCCTGGATAAGAGAAGACTGAGAGGAGATAAGATATCCACCTTCAAATATCGGAAGGGTTGCCACATGGAAGATGGAGGAAGCTTGTTTTCTGCTGCTCCAAAGGGTGAAATCCGAACCAATGGATTCAAATTATAAGACAGGTGATTCGGACTCAACATTAGGAAGAACTTTCTGAGGGAAAAGCTCTTTGACGGTGGAATGGACCCCCTTGGAATGTAAAGGACTCTCTTTTCCTGGAGGTTTTTAAGCAGAGGTTGGGTGGCCATCTGTCAGGGATTCTTTAGCTGTGATTTCTGCATTGCAGGGGGCTGGACTAGACAATCCTTGGGATCCCTTCTAACTATAGGATTTTTTTTTATTCTATGTGTATATTAGGAGAAATTCACACAAAAATGGGGGTGAATTTTAAAAAAAATATCAAACTGATGTGGAAATGTGGAGGCTGGACATACGACCAGGATAGTTGATGCTGCCTTTGTAGGATGAGTATCACAGGCCTTCACCAGCAGTTAAACCGAGGGAGTCGGATCAAGGCCCTTTCCACTGGCCTCCCTCATCCAACTGCCGCTTGGTCCTTCTGCCCCAACCCTTGCCTTCTTCTGACAGCTGCTCACCTTGGCCTTCCCAGTCTCCTTCCCCTTGTGCTTTTCTTTTCTTTTGTCCTTAATTGTGTCTTTATCGTTTCAGAGCTTAAGCCTGAGGGCAGGGGTGTCTGTTGTTTCTACGTTTTATACAGCACGTAGCAAGCGTAGGTGGCTTTATAAAGAAATAACCACCTGCGCTGAGAAACCATCTCATTTCTTTACCTTTTTCTAAGTGTCATGGCTTCCTGCAAGGAACTCTGGAAAGCTTCTGCAAGAGGGTTCCTTAGTGTGCCGCCACACAGATGCCGGGAACATAATTAAACTTGTTTGACACTCAAGGATTGTCCCACTGAACACATATACTGCACCAAGACTGTTGATTATGGATTTACATTTATAGCACAGCTTTTCCTCAAAGCAGTTCACGGTGGTAAGCATATGTCTCTCTGTTATTATTATTATTTTATCCTTGCAACAATCTAGTGCAGCACATTAGGCTGAGAGCTGACCCAAGGCCACATAGCAAAGTTTCATGGCTGAGTGGAAATTTGAACCTGAGTCCAGCACTCTAACCACTACACCATACCACCTTGAGTAGCATTGCTGGAAGGACCTCTATGGAGAACCTTGGAGAGGTGCTACCACTGATCTAGCTAGATCATCAGTGCCATCCCACCCAAGAGGCAGGGTGAGGCAGAAACCTCCCAAGGAGAGGCATCCCCATTCCAACACCCAGCTTTGCCATGGGACTCCCTGGCCTCTAGGCGCAAGGAGACAGATCTCCCTTCCACTGAGAGGTGTGGCTTTTACCATCTTCTCCTAAAAGGCAAAGCTGGTGCATAGCTCCACCACTGAGCGGGGGTGTGAGGGAATCTATAAATGATCTGCCCCCCTACCCAGTGGGGACAACTCCTCAAGGGCTTCTTGAGGAGAAGACATTATGGAGTTTGCCCCCCCCCCATTGTGGGAACAGCCGTGGGGCATTCCACCTCAGGTGCCGCAACACCTTGGGCCACCCCTGTAGACCATTATTGCCTTATTTGAGAAGCTCTCCAGCTCTTCCCTGGAGACAGCAGGGATGGAACATGGTTTGCTACTGAGAGCTGGCTTCGGCCTACTGGGTCACTGAAGGCAGCTTGCTTTGTTAGGTCCAGCGGGCCTCTCTGTTTGGGCCCACAAGGATATGTTGGCCTGGCCAAGTCACACCTACCCATCCTACACCAGAACTGATATCATGCATGGCATCAGGTGTATGTTACATAAAGATGCAGCTGTGTCAAAGCAGAGTTTGCTCCTGGCAGTCAGCACCTGTGAAGTCCCAGGCACGGTGCTTTGCAAGCCCTGGCAATCAGCCCTGGTTACGACTTGCAAACCGAGGCACCTTTGATTTCAACCCACGTGGGCAAAAACTGGTCACTTGGGAGTTCTCCACCCTTGGTCTAGGGCAGGGGTCTGCAACCTTTAAGACAAAAAGAGCCACTTGGACCCGTTTGCGAAGGGGAAAAAAAACTGGGAGCCGCAAAACCGGGAAGGTGACGTTGGGACGGTGCACGACTAACACACGCACCGCCCCCATGCAACGTCACAGCCAGTACAGCGCCCGCCACAGTGGGGAGTGTCAGGGCGCACAATGCGCCTCCTCCCCTTGCTAGTATCCGCCCCGGAGCCACAGCAAAGGTGTAAAAGAGCCACATGCGGCTCTGGAGCCACGGGTTGCAGACCCCTGTTCTAGGGCCAATACAGGCCTAGGCTCACCATGGTTTTAAGCCGTGACAGATTCTGTGGCCCTCTGGCTGTTGCTAAACTACAACTCCCATCATCCCTGACCATCAGGGCTGATGGGAGCTGATATCCAACAACATCTGGACGGCCACCAGTTTCCCACCTCTACTTTAAACAGAAATGCCAGGGATCAGATTCGTGCAAAGCAGATGTTCTTTCGCTGAGTGACAGGCTCAGTAAGATAAGTGCTGAAAAAACACACGGTGTGTGCTCAGGCCTATCTCGCCGGGGTGTTTGCTGCGAACTGCCTTGGCCGGCTCTGACCCTTATCTGACCTCCCCGTCGGATGAACCTGGCTCCTGATCCTGGAGGATGCCTGAGCCCTGGAAATGCTAGACGTTCTAACAACAAGCCCTCGCCAAAGCCTGACAGCTCAGCGTGGGACAGCAAGTGGAAAACTGGACACTGTGCATCCATCCATGTCCTCCTGCAGCAGCGTCCAGGGTGGAAACTTCAACTGGCGCATGCACCCAAGTTGGCGGCTGTGGAAAACCAGGCAGGTGCGTGCCTTGTGGCGATAGGCTTGGAGGGAGAAGGAGGTGGGCGGGCTGGGGGGGGGGGAGCAAAGGCAGATGGTGCATCTACTGCTCTTTGAAAATGACTGTGGGCGCAGAAGAATTTTAAGAAGCAGTAATCAAGGAGCCAGGCAGGGCTGCACAACCACAGCCTGGAATAGTTTAAAGGAAAAGCAGGCCAGAGATGGGGAAGCAGGAATTCAGCTTGGAAGGAGGGTGAAAGAATAAAACTGTAACAACAACAACAACAACAAAACTAACCTACAGCTGCTTCCTGTAGGAAAAGACCTTTTGACACTGAAGGGCACTTCCAGACTGTCACTATTTTCAGAGGGGAGGGTTGAATTCAAATATGCACCTTCTGCAAATGTGGGTGCAACTCAGTTTGCAGAAGAGGAGTTTGCATGGAGATAAGACAAGAGTGAGGAACCCCCAGGTTCTCAGACTATCCCTGTAGTTTTATTTCTATGGTGGCTTCTCTTTCTATCTTTCTGTTGTTTAGACTGATACTTCTCTGAAAGGCACATCTCTGAAATGTACCTGTATGGATAGATTCTGGTCATTTGCAGGCCAAAGTTACAACTTTTGTGTAAGGACATTTTTGGCACAGAAGTGGGAGCCTGAGGGTCCCAGACAAGTTCTCCAAGAGTGCTCCTGAAACCTGTGTCTTCTGCACCATTTTGTTCTGGTTCACTGATCCTCTTAAATTCTTCTTTAAGAGATTTGTCTTCTTGATGGCTACATTATATAGCCAATTGAGGATCACATGGCTAGGGTGATGATGTCATAACTGTTAGAGAGCCAGTATGGTGTAGTGGTTAAGAGCGGTAGTCTCGTTATCTGGGGAACCGGGTTCGCGTCTCCGCTTCTCCACATGCAGCTGCTGGGTGACCTTGGGCCAGTCACACTTCTTTGAAGTCTCTCAGCCCCACTCACCTCACAGAGTGTTTGTTGTGGGGGAGGAAGGGAAAGGAGAATGTTAGCCGCTTTGAGACTCCTTAAAAGGGAGTGAAAGGCGGGATATCAAATCCAAACTCTTCTTCTTCTTCTTCTTCTTCTTAGAATTCCTGCTCCATGATTGCAGTCATGGGATTTTTGTCATTCACACATATATTTTGATTCCACAGAGTGGGAAGTGACAGAGACAGGATGTTTGTGTTACTGTGTTCCGTGAAGTGGGACTATTGTCCTTTCTTCTTTTTCTCTTTGCTGTCTGATGCTAGAGAGAGAGGGAGCCATGTTGCAGTGCTCCGTGTGTGTTTATATGTAAATAAGTAGATTAGCCAAAATGCTGAGTTGCTGAGGTCTTTTACGCATGATGCACAAACTCTGCGGATCCCTAAGTGTGCCGGTGTCTGTTGGCATCAGTCGGTGTGATGTTTGGGCTGAAGAAAGCTTTTGAAGCTCCCAAACGAGCGACCAGGAGGAAGAGAACGTGCCAGTTGGGCATGTGTCTATGGCTCGGTCCTACTCGAGTGTAGGCTGAACTCCTGACAATAACAACGTGTACCAATCATCTTTGGCTATGTGATGACACTTCAAAGTAAGCAAAATGCTTTCTGGCCTTTCTCTGAAAGCAGAAACACCATCAGCTTGTTTTTCCAGTCCTCCCCCCCCCCCAATGTAAAAATTATGGCCAAAATGGAGGAACCCATTTCACAGGGCGAATGTTTGCACGAAACACTCACCATTTTGACACTGTCTTTATAATATGCAGTAATATTACAGTACTGGGGCAGTAGTGGGTGAGATTAGAGTGCTGTACTAGGACCTGGGAGACCAGGGTTCAAATCTCCTTTCAGCAATGAAGCCCACGTTGAGTTACCTTGGGCCAGTCACTACCTCTCAGGGTGGTTGTGGAGGACAGGGAGAACCATGTATGCCACCTTGATCTCTTTGGAGAAAAAAGTGGGATATAAATCCTAATAATAATAATAAAAAATTGTGCAAATTTAATGTCTCAATGAATCAGTGCACTGCATAAAAGACAGCTGATGAATGAAGAACAGTCTTTAGACTGTGATCCTAAAGCATACTTTCCAGTACCATTTAACTCAGTGGGACTTACGCTTGGGTATACATGAGAGCAGTATGCTGTTAAACTGACTAGTCCTGAACACAAGTCATTTATTATTATTATTATTATTATTATTATTATTATTATTATTATTATTATTATTATTTTAAAGTAATAACCGAATGTGTTAGCAGATCATAAAAAAATAAGATACTTCTAAACCATATGCTGCAGGGTTATCAATAAGATGCATTTTGGAAAACTGGAACTTTGGTATCCAGGCCATTAAAAAAAAAAGAGGCACAAAGATTCAGTAGAAAAGAAGAATGCCGAAAAGGGATTTACAGGCAGTGAAGTGAGTCCAGGGTTTGCAACATGATATGGCATCAGGAAAATAAAAGCTGATGCCATTTCGATTAGGGTTTCTTTTTGCAAACACACCGTCACACAACTGGCCAGGGAGATGACAGTCTCAATCTCTGTGGCTCTGATGTTCCTGCACCTGCGGCCCCATGTTCCATCTGGATGTCTCATTGCCAGAAACATCTCGGCAAACAGAGTTCAGAAGTATTGCTTTAAAAAATCCAGCAGTGATTTATGGGGGGCAGGATAAGCATTTAAAGCTTTGCAGCTTTTCATTCTGTTAAACACCGCACGTCCCGTCCTCATGCCGCCCTTCTCCAAGGCGGACAGCAATCAAGGAAACTTTGGACAAACAAGAGACGCCAGTGGAAAGTCTTCAGGTATATTTAGAGGGTGAAAATCCCAAAGAGAGGGGTGAACGAGGAACACGTTAAAAAAATTAAATGAAAGCTACACGGCTAGACAGACTGAACTGGAAAAGATTGGGAAATCCACCTGACTCGGTGATCTTTTAGTCGGTGCAAAAAAAAATAATGGTTTTCCATGGAAAGTAATGGTCATTTCTTTAAGCACACAGTGGACAGAACTCTGGCAAATGCACTCTGGTGAGGAAAGGAGACCAAACCGCCTGCATGTTGTCAAAAGAGGGTGCCAAATACATTTGACCTCAGAAGATATCGTGAGAGGCAGCAGACCAAGTTCTCCTCTCAGAAATCTGTAAGTGCAGCACAGCACATCTTCATATGCTCCCCATCCCCTGGGCTTAGGTTGGCCACTAAGGTATTGCCAAAACAAGAGGACGAAAAGGGGCTCGTTGGAATTGAAGAAGAAGAAGAGTTTGGATTTGATATCCTGCTTTATCACTACCCAAAGGAGTCTCAAAGCGGCTAACATTCTCCTTTCCCTTCCTCCCCCACAAAAAACACTCTGTGAGGTGAGTGGGGCTGAGAGACTTCAGAGAAGTGTGACTAGCCCAAGGTCACCCAGCAGCTGCGTGTGGAGGAGCGGAGACGCGAACCCGGTTCACCAGATTACGAGTCTTAACCACACTGGCTCTCATTGCATGTGCTAAATTGCATGCATGGATGCAAATGTAGAAATAAATGGTTTAATTCAAATATAGATACATTTCACCATAGTGAGGAAGGCTGTCACCAAGTGAGGTGCTGTGTGCCTTGCTCACTCTTCTATGAACCTCAGAATGTAAGGAGAACTTGCTGGATCAGGCCAATGGCCCATCCAAGCAGGATCTGACCACAAGAGCCCTCTCCCCTCCTGTGGTCCCCAGCAACTGATATTCAGAAGCACTGCTTCCTCCAACTGAAGAGGCAGAGTATAACCATCATGGCAAGTGGCCATTGCTGGCTGTCCAGGCACCAATGAGCGATGGGCAAATTCAAGCCCTCGCCTACTTACCTTCCAACCAGATTTGGACCTGACAAGCCTTCAGAAAGAGGACTGTGTTTTTGTGTATGCTTTCGGTGGGACCCTTGAAGCCATTTCTCCCCTAAACTCCTTTCTTTTGTGTAATTTTATTTATTTGCTTGTGGCTCTTGCATCGATGTCACACTTTTTCCTCCAAGGAGCTCAAGGTGGCCTAGATGGTTCTCCTGTTCCTCGTTTAATCCTCACAACAACCCTGTGAGGTAGGTTAGGGCCGTTAGGCTGACAGTGAGTGGCTGGCCCAAGGTCACCCTGTGAGATTCATGGCTGAGGGAGGATTTGAACCCAGAAGAAGAAGAAGAAGAAGAGGAGGAGGAGGAGGAGGAGGAGTTTGGACTTGATATCCCGCCTTTCACTCCCCTTAAGGCAGCGGTTCTCAACCTGTGGGTCCCCAGATGTTGTTGGACTACAACTCCCATCATCCCTAGCTAGCAAGGCCAGAGCTCAGGGATGATGGGCGTTGTAGTCCAACAACATCTGGGGACCCACAGGTTGAGAACCGCTGCCTTAAGGAGTCTCAAAGCAGCTAACAATCTCCTTTCCCTTCCTCCCCCACAACAAACACTCTGTGAGGTGAGTGAGGCTGAGAGACTTCAGAGAAGTGTGACTAACCCAAGGTCACCCAGCAGCTGCATGTGGAGGAGCAGGGAAGTGAACCTGGTTCACCAGATTACGAGTGTACCGCTCTTAACCACTACACCACGATGGCTCCCTAGTCTCCCAGATCCTAGTCTGACACTCTAACCACTGCATGACCACACTGGTAATCCCTCCTCTCCAGCTAGAGTATGAGGGGGCACTCCTGCTTAGAAGGTCCTCATAGCCATTTCACCTTTTTCAACTCCAGGGTTCTGTGACTTTTAAGAATGAGACAGCAAATGCAGTTGTTTGGGGGCAACACCAACCAGCCCTCCCAGTCTCCCCATTCCTTCTGGTAATCTGGAGCAGGCCCCTGGCCCTCTTGACCTTTTTTTATCATTTCCAGTAAAAACAAAACAAACAAAACAAAACCCCTTACTTTTACCAAGCATCTAAAGCAACAACAACTAGAGAAGTTCTGTCCAAAAGACATAAATCCTTACACCGTAAATTCATTTTTTAAAAAATAAAAAATAAAAACTGCATAAAGCAATCCCAAATAGCGGATCAGCCATTTCCAAAATGCTTGGCAGTGGAAAGAATGGTATAAATAATAACACTGCGTTGCTTATGCAGCCCAAACAGTGCCACCCATGCAGAGGCTGGAGCCATCAACGAAGTTTGCAAATGCAGTGGAGGGGGAATTTGGAGAGGAACCCCTGCTTCACCACCACCACCACCAATATATACATTGCAGGGGGCTGGACTAGATCGCTCTTGTGGCCCCTTCCAACTCTACAATTCTACAATTCTACAAATTTTGTAAACAATGCTTGGCTGGAGAACTACATTGCAAAATTCAGATAATTGCTAATTTCAATGCAGGGGGGCGGGGGCGAGCTATGTTTCCCATATTGTTTCAGAAAGTACAGTGGTGCCCCGAAAGACGAATGCCTCGCAAGACGAAAAACTCGCTAGACAAAAGAGTTTTCCGTTTTTTGAGGTGCTTCGCAAGACAAATTTCCCTATGGGCTTGCTTCGCAAGACGAAACGTCTTGCGAGTTCTTGCGAGTTTGTTTCCTTTTTCTTAAAGCCACTAAGCCGTTAATAGCCGCTAAGCCGCTAAGCCGCTAATAGCCGCTAAGCCGCTAATAGCCGTGCTTCACAAGACGAAAAAACCGCAAGACGAAGAGACTCGCAGAACGGATTAATTTCGTCTTGCGAGGCACCACTGTACGAATTTGAGAGATTTGCCTTTAAGTAAGAACTGCATCGAAGCCCTCCCCTGTCCCTGTCTATCACATAAGAATGTACAAAGAGCCTGCAGGATCAGACCAATGACCTATCTAGTCCAGCTTCTTGTTCCTACAGTGGCCAGCCATATGCCCATGGGAAGCCCAAAAGGAGGACTTGTATGAATAGTCCTTCCAGCAGATTCACGGGACAGATATTATGGGCTGTCCCGTGAATCCGCTGGATGAAATAGCGGAAGAACGTTGCCTCAGGAGAGTGAGGAAAATTCTCAGGGATGATTCACACCCTGGCCAGCACTTTCTGGATCTCCTGCCCTCGGGCAGAAGATATAGAAGCATGATTAGTTGCGCCAACAGGGTAAAGAACAGCTTCTATCCATGGGCTGTTAGGCTGCTGAATGAAAAGATAACAACAGGGCAACTGACTTTCGGGTTTGGTCAGTAAACGAGGGGAATTAAGACTAAGAGAGCTGAGTGGGGAGTGCTCGTGTAATCTCACTGTATACAAGTTGTACAAGTGACAATAAAGTATTTCAATTTCAATTTCAATTCAATTTCGATTCCAAAGCACACAACAAGCCACCTAGTCCCATCAACTCCACCCTCTGTGGTATCTCCTTTTCTTCTCCTCCAATCTGCTCTCCCCCTGGCTTGGTTCCCTCTCTGCATCTCATTCTCTTACTCCAGGTTTCCTTTCACCTCCTCTCCCCTGTTCCCTCTCTCCATCCTCAGAACCCCCAACATCTGTGCTAACAGGAGTTGAGGGGCTGCTTCCTAGAAAGCTGTGCCTTGAATTTGGGAGCTCCACCAATCGAAGCCAGGAGAATGGGGAGAGCAGGCCCAGGTTGCAAATAAGAAGGCGGATCCTGGCAAGCAGGGAGCTGGCTTGAGGTCCCAGCGTGAAGCCCTAGTTAATTCTTATGTAAGCCTGATATTGAATTATGCTTAGAATGGAACATTCTTAGCAGAGCACAAAACAGTCTGTGCGCACACAGCCGCTGAAACAAACGTGTTGCTGATCATGAAACCAAAATACTTCAAAAGACCCTGGCACTATCTGTTCCACGGCGCTAAGTAGAGTTGCAGCAATGGGTTTGTTTTACATCTGAGGGTTTGTTATTCACAGAATCGCAGAGCTGAGAGTTTCTGGGGGCAGGAGGAATTTTTAAAATGTTCTCAAATCCCGAATTCTTTTGAAGAGCGGCTGGCAAAAACAGGGTTTTGGAACCACGTTTCTGAAAAGTGTTGAAGTGTTGTTATTTTTTTAAGCATATTAATTTTAAAGATTTCTAAACCACTCTTCTTCGCTCTCCTTCAGCTTTGGCAGACTCAGTCGGCTGTATACAATGCACAGAGTAGACCCACTGAAATGAATGGACATGAGTGGTTCATTCATTTCGGTGGGTATGCTCTGCATAGAACTTAGCTGGATATATCCCAATATTATTTATATGTTTGACAGCTTCAAGCTGAGGAACAGTACTGATAGTTTGTGGAGAGAGAATAGCTGACTAACTTGCATTAGTCATGAAGGATGTCCCAATAAGGAAACGTACTCAATCATCCTCAGGGCTGCCTTGCAGATGTGGAGTTGCATGTACGCTACTGGTTATTACACACACACTCAAAAAAAGAGCCCTGCAAAGGTATTCAGGCCACGAATAAATGACTCCTGGATGGATTAGTCAGATGCCCAGTGCGGTAAGTAGCAGGGCCCCCTCAGAGAAGTTATGGCTGACAAGAAAAGTGTTGCACAACATGCTCCATTTGATCTCTCTCATTAACAGCAATAAGAATTTCCCACCTACTGGGTGAGAAAGTGAGTAAAAAAGGAACTAGTAGGAAAAAGGATGGGGGAAGACCTACTGACTGAGCTGTAGTTTGGGGAGGATGATTAATCAATTTAGAAATGATAGTGGGCATACAAATTTTAGGAAGAGGTGATGGAGGAAATTTCTGAAATAATAGGTGCGCTGGTGCCTTGAAACCCAAAGTGTCTTTTACCCATTTTTGATGGGTTGACTGCGGACTTAATATGTAAGCCACTTACAATTTGTCTGTTAGTAGCTGCTGGCTTAGTCACATCTCAAGGCTGGCTTGGCCAAGTGGCTGATATAGGACTTGTAGCCAGGATGTATACAAGGGCCCAGGGAAGAGGGATGGGGGCCAGCAAAGGCTACACCAAGTCCTGCTATCTACTCGCTTGTTGTGCAAAAAGTCACTTATCCACACATAAAGAATTATGCCCAAATGTCACACTATAAGTACCGCAGATTCAGATATCCAAACATTGGGAGTTTGCCCACTTCCTTATTTCCTTGCTTGTTTCTGCTTTGCTGGTGAACGGCAGCCATTTTGGGGCAGAAACCATGCAGGAAACGAGCAAGATTGGACAAAACAGAGAACAGAAGAGATCGGACAAATCAGTGTTTTCCTTGGGCTGCAGCCACTTTAGGGAAAAACCATTGGGGGAAAAGGGGAGGATCGGACAAATCCCAAATAATAAATATTTCCATAGGAAACAATGGAAGTCGTAGACTTGTTATGTGAACATTTGCCTAATAAACAATTTCCCGGCAAACGTTCACATAACAAGTCTACAATTTCCACAGAACACGTATACTGTAAGTGGGACCTGTGTGTATATAAATGCTGGAGGAAACAACAGGCAGAGAGGAAGGGGGGAGGTCTTAAAAAAAGAGGGCTGGAAGAACAAAAATGTGGGGCTGAAGAGGGGTAACCCTTTGTGGCCCAAAAGCAGCATATAAATAAACCATAACGAAACATAACATTTCACTTGGCTCCATCAGTATACAAATTTAATAAATAAACCCGGCAAATTGGTGAGGCAGCAAAGCCCCCTCCGTCGGCCTGGCTGGACCAACCACCATTGGGCTCCTCCTCTCCCAGGAATGCCCCAATTACCGTTTGCAGTACATCCCATGTTCTCTTGCGCAATTATTATAATGGCAGGCAGGGTGTTCTGTGGGGTGAGGAAGGACTCAATGGATGAGGATAAGGCAACATCAGCCCTTCCAACTGGCCGGCAGTATGGAGTCTCTGGATTGGCCAAGTGTAGCCTAAGTACTATGGGCTGGGCTTTCAGCCTACACTTGGTCAGTAAAACTATACTTGCTGATCTTCAGGTTTCAGCTTCCTACTACTTCCATCCTTTTTGCAACTTCCAGGCTTAGATTTGGGTTTGGCCGCCCACGACGTGACCCCAGCCAGGTCCTGACCGTTTTCCTGTTGGCTACTTTTCTGGAGGGAAAAGGGGAAGGCTGGAAGCATCTCACTTCTCATAAAGACAATATGGGATGGTGCATTCTGTTTACAGCGCCTTTCTCTCCCACAGTAGAAACCCATGCACTGCTGTTGATTTTCCAAGCAGAGCAGACACCAAACCCTCAATTTTCAAAACCTTTAACCTCTGTTGTAAAACACTAAAGCACCATATGGGTTTACGGCATCCGTAAAGGAACCAGTGAAATAGCAGCAATAACTTAGGCAAATAATTAGGTTTTAAACCCACCATTAGAATGCGCCTGTAGCTGTCCCTGTCAATACCCCAAAGCTTGAGGTCTGTCTTGGCTTTAACCGTTGCAGCTCTTGGCGTTCCGTAGATGAGGGCGAGTTCTCCAAAGCTTCCTCCTTCTCCAATGCTGGTGACCCATTCTCCGTTCACATACACCTGCCAGTGAGAGAAAAAAGCAATGTGGGCATCAGTGATAGCTCATTTGGTTAGAACACAGTGCTGATAACGCCAAGGTTGCAGGTTTGATTCCTGTATGGGGCAGCTGCATATTCCTACATTGCAGGGGCTGGACTAGATCAGGGGTCAGCAAACTTTTTCAGCAGGGGGCCAATCCACTGTCCCTCAGACCTTGTGGGGGGCCAGACTATATTTTTTGGGGGGGGAATGAACGAATTCCTATGCCCCACAAATAACCCAGAGATGCATTTTAAATAAAAGTGCACATTCTACTCATGTAAAAACACACTGATTCCTGGACTGTCCGCGGCCCGGATTTAGAAGGTGATTGGGCCGGATCCAGCCCACAGGCCTTAGGTTGCCTACCCATGGACTAGATGATGATGATGAAAACAATTTTATTATTTATAACCTGCCCATCTAGCTGGGTTTCCTTCCAACTCTACAGTTCTATGATTCTATGTGTTAGAATAACTCATCAGTGTTAATTGAAACATACAGTATATAGAAGGGGGCCCCCAGGCCAGGCAATCAAATGTGGCCCTCCAGGCCTTTCTATGTGGCCGTCATAACTCCCATCAGGCCACACCCTTCACTGGTCTTGTTTGGTACCCAGAACATTTTGGCCTGCCTGGAATGTGTTCCTGAGCTCTGATGATGTTCCTTACTTTCCCAGATGGAGGCTAGAGAAGGGTGTGTGTTCAGAGGTCAATGTACAAAGGAAACGTTTACATTCATTTCTCTGCCAACTTTTGACATGGACTGAAGAGGAATGGTGGAGATGGCCTCCCCCTTCTCCTGAACCTTCCTGAGAAGAGGAAGATGGTATAGATTTGCAACGGTGGTTTGCAGAGGGTCACAGCTCAGAGATAGAAGAGGGGCAAAGCTGGGAAATAACGGGAGAAGCAGAGCAGGAACAGCTGGCTGACACATTATCGCTAGAGAGCATTCCAGACCCCCCCTTCTCCCAGAACACGGAGAGCAATGAAAGTAGGAGAGCAGAGAGCCCAGAGGCAATTGTCCCTAAGCAGACACCGTAAGGGAGGTGGGGCTGTTGACGACGGAGAAGGGAAGGGGGGAAGATATTACTCGAAGCAACGCCATTATCCAAGAGACAGCATTTCTACGGCTCTCTCTGTGAATATTGAATAAAAGACCTTGGTAAGAGCTTCTTGTCTTTCCATTACTGGCAGCCTGCCGTGAGGGAGGGGGGTCGGATTCCCTAAAGCCTGACAGCAGCCCTCAGAACGCTGCTCAGAAGAGAATGTGGCCCTTGCCCTAATTTTTTTCCCCTCCGCCCCACCCAATGTATAGTAGCATAGGCTTTCTCATGTGTTGTCCAAAGGAGATTGACAATTGCAAGACATAGATTCAAACGAGAAAGGGCAATAAGAGATTCAGACCATTGCCTAACCAATGTCAAGCTTTTATCCTTCCAACTTCAATATCCATTTTCCACAGTAATATAATTTGTGAATGTCTGCAAATATCACAGATTTTTCCAAAACAAAACCCCTGGTTACCCTTAACTAAATTGGTTTTATTGAGTTAAGGGCAACCAGGGGCAAAAGATAGTCAACCCATTTGAGGAAAAAATTGAGGAAAGTCTTTATTGATGACACAAGTGTAAAGGATAATGCCTCCTCCTTCCTCATCCTTGATGTACACTAGATTATGGGACTTCTGAGTTATCTCTTCATCTCACAACCCTGTAAAGAAGAATTTTGTAATGGAAACCCTGTAAAGGGGGCAGAATGCATTGAGATTATCTTTATGTATAGCTATTGAGCTGTACAAAGCCTGTTATATTAATAACTTACCCTTTGTATCTGTTTTGTTTTTTTTAATTTGAATTTTCAAGGAAGTTTAATACACAGATTTTTCTAAAAAAAACCAATTTAGGAACTTAGTTGAAGGGGAAATGACTGTTCTTCCAAAATACACGTTGCAAAATGCACATTCCAAAAAATAGCTGTCTCCCTCACATGCTATGGGTCTCTGGAAGTCAACAGTCCAGAAACAATAGCTGAGCCATTTCCTTACAGAGTCACTAAAAACAACCGCAGTGATTGGTGGAACAACCTGCTTTGCGGACAGAATTTCAAGTCTTCTTGCTTTTAGTACAAGGGCTGCATTTGCTCTTTGAGTTTCCAGCTCCCTGTGGTGTGTTGGCATCTGAGGGTTCCCCCCAACGCACCCTCTTTGTAGAGTCTGGCGCGCACAGAACCAAGGGGCAGGGCTGTCACTGTCTTCCTTTTTCTGTTTCGGCAATACTGTCGGACTTGAAAGGAGAGGAGAAGGTAGCTGCAAGGAAGTTTGCAGGAAAACACCACCATTGTGAAACTCAAAAGAAATCCAGCACGGAACAGGGGAAAGATCTTTACATAAAAGGGATGCCTTCCTCTCTCCCACCGCACGCCTCTGCTTTATAAACTTCATTAGCAAAGTGGAATTCAAGCAATTGCTGGGGCCGCAGGCACACAGGAAGTTGCTTTATACCGAGTCAAACTTTTGGTCCATCAAGCTCCCTACTGTCCACACTGACAGACAGTAGCTCTCTGAGGTCCAGCACAGGGGCCTTCTGGAGGCTTCCCTCATTGCGAGAAGTGAGGTTACAGGGAACCAGGCAGAGGGCCTTCTTAGTAGTGGCGCCCACCCTGTGGAATGCTCTCCTGTCAGATGTCAAGGAGGTAACCTATTCTACAAGCTTCCATTGACAACCGAGGGCAGCGCTGTATCAGGAAGCTTTTAATATTTGATGTTTTGTTGTGTTCTTTTATTTTATGTTGGAAGCTGCCCAGAGTGGGCAACAAATTAAAACAGAGAATAATTATTATTTATTTATTTATTTATTTATTTATTTATACCCCTTCCATCTGGCTGAGTTTCCCCAGCCACTCTGGGCAGTTCCCAATCAAGTGTTAAAAACAATACAACATTAAATATTAAAAACTTCCCTAAACAGGGCTGCCTTCAGATGTCTTTTAGAGATGATAGCTACTTGTTTCCTTCACATCTGAAGGGAGGGCATTCCACAGGGCGGGTGCCACTACCGAGAAGGCCCTCTGTCTGGTTCCCTGTAACCTCACTTCTTGCCATGAGGGAACTGCCAGAAAGCCCTCGGCACTGGATCTCAGTGTCCGGGCAGAACGATGGGGGTGGAGACGCTCCTTCAGGTATACTGGGCCGAGGCCGTTTAGGGTTTTAAAGGTCAGCACCAACACTTTGAATTGTGCTCGGAAATGTACTGGGAGCCAATGCACAGAACACAGGAAAACATCAAACATTAAAAACTTCCCGATACAAGGCTGCCTTCAGATGTCTTTTAAAAGTCAAATAGTTGTTTATTTACAGTGCTACTTCTCTAGAAAAAGCAGTGCCATGAACACCTCTTAGAATGGCAATGGCGACCACCTGAGAGGTGCCAGAACTGAGTTCTGGTGAGTTCCATCTAAAATAAAAAGAGCCCAGTTTATTTCCTTGACGTCAAATGGGAGGGTGTTCCACAGGGCAGGCGCCACTACCAAGAAGGCCCTCTGCCAGTTTCCTGTAACCTCACTTCTTGCAATGAGGGAACCACCAGAAGGCCCTCGGTGCTGGAACTCAGTGTCTGAACTGACCAATTGAGGTGGCTATGCTTCTTCAGGTATACAGTGCCGAAGCCGTGTAGGGCTTTAAAGGTCAGCACCAACATTTTGAATTGTGCTCGGAAACCACCCTTTCTCCCTTCCCTTGTGACCAAGAAGGAGCGCATAATGTAGCTGCGTGGACGTGTTGCAATTCTCCAGTGATGTGAACTTAAGAACCTGCATTCACTTCCCCAATAAAAATGTCATTTTCTAATATCAGCCTCATGAAAGGGGGGAAAGTGTGCTTTGGGGGTTGGAGGAACTAACACAAATGACCGGAGTGTTTGAAACAGGAAGACACTGTACTCAAAGTTTAAAACCTCACTGCTTGGCCAGACATGACACAGTAAATTTTGTTTTCGCGATGATGACAAAGTGTATTGATGATGCATGGCCCTGTCATCCTGTCCTCTGGCCTGAAAGTTCAGCCACGCTAAGTTTACTTGCAAATCTGCCTCTTTTTTTAAAAAAGGAGGAAGAATGAAACATTGTCCACGTGGAAGAAGTCTATTTAAGGTCCCAGCTTATTTTAGCCTTCTGGTTTCCTGAGAAAGAATGAAGAAAGGTGAAAAATATCAGCCAAAAGGAGCACTTCCCCCCCCACACACACACCCAAAGACAGGGTGTGGGGGAAAGTTTTAAGAAATCTGCTTCTTGAGAGATGAAAAGGACACATGCACACCAATTTAAGTAATATAAGAAACCAAGTTTGTTATTTGGAGTAGAGCTGTGTTGGGTTCAGAGGAAAAGCACATGATTTGCACGTATTAAGCCTGAGGTTCAGTCCTTGGCTTCTCTATTTAAATGGGTCTTGGGGGAACCTCTGCCTATGATATGGGAGAGCCATTTATTGCCAGTCAAAATGCTGGACTAGACCAAGGTAAGATAATTAAAATAAATCTGACAATTTTGTTCTTTCAGTTTATCTCCCCTCCCCCGCCGCAATCTGCAGCAATTTATCAATAGTGTCTTCCTTTTAATCCTCATGAAAATTCATCGGCATTTTTAGTGCGAATATCACATTTTCGCAAAGCAATTTTACCCAAACATAATGCATTTTTTAATTATTAAATTTTTTGCAGGTCATTTTCACCAACATGTGCATTTTTTATGCACACTTTACTCTAATGTGTGCATTTGGGCACACATGACCCGGGGTGGGGAATGGCATTGCAAAACTCGGAGAAGTGCAAATTTCAAAGGGTGGCTTGCTTCGGTTTGCATAGTGTCTGGAAAGCATAAATTAGGTAGGTTCACCTTTAAATGCAAACTGAATCAGATTTCTCCCCCTTCCCACCCCTCTGTGACTCCAGCTACAGAGGCTGTTCCTGCAGCTGCCCAGAGGCTCCCAGGGTGGGGTCTTGTTTAGTTGCTATAGCTGGGGGCAATGTTTAGTTTTGGTTAAGGCGTATTATTTTTGCTGCTATTTCAGTGGGTTGTGTTTTTTTAGATTTTTGACTTCTGTTGTTAGCATTAGTATGAATAATTTGTGCATTGTTCAATCTAAGCGTATATCTATTTGGGTGTTTTGATTAGCCTATTAATACTCATGCCCGTGGCTATTTAAACTTTGCTATGCCTTTCAACTTAAATGTTGAGGAATGTTTATATTTTGTTATGTAAACTTTGGTGATGTAGTGAGCTGCTCTCATAGATTCATAGAACTGTAAAGTTGTAAGGGACCTGAAGGGTCATATAGTCCAACCCGCTGCAATGCAGGATAGCCATCCGACCTCTGCTTTAAAAACTCAAATGAAGGAGAGTGCCCGTTCCAATGTCGAACAGCTCTTGTAACTCCTTTCTTGTATCCTCTTTTCCCGGCTAAAATACCCAGCTGCTTCGACCGTTCTTCATATGGCGTGGTTTGTACTGTAGTTATGCAAGTAAACAGGTGATAGTGATGATGACAAAGAGGTGAGTAAGAGACGATACGATATAGATTCAAAAATCTAAAGGGCTGCCACATGGAAGATGCAGCAAGCTTGTTTTCTCCTGTGCCGGGGGGTTGGACCTGAACCAATGGCTTCAAGTTACAGTGGTACCTCGGGATACAAACGTTTCGGGTTACAAACGCTTCAGGTTACAGACTCTGCTAACCCAGGAGTAGTACCTCAGGTTAAGAACTTTACCTCAGGATGAGAACAGAAATCGCGCGGTGGCAGCAGCAGGAGGCCCCATTAGCTAAAGTGGTACCTCAGGTTAAGAACAGTTTCAGGTTAAGAACGGACCTCCAGAACGAATTAAGTTCTTAACCAGAGGTACCACTGTATAAGAAAAGAAATTCCAGCTCAAAATCAGGAAGAACTTTCTGACCGTAAGAGCTGTTCTACAGTGAAATGGCTGAGCCTTATTTTCTTTTTATGCAGGGACGAAAAGGGGGAAAGAGCGAGGCTTGTAAAATGAAAGTAACCAACAGGAAGGAGGTTTATATTTGGAAATATAGATCTGGGATTCCTCCCCCCCCCCATCAAAAACACACACTTTGGAGCAGGTACTTACAGAGGGGTTTTTTTTTTACTGGAAGCCCATAATTTATGTTTCACCAGATATGTTTAGGCAGGTCGCCAGGCTTCATGAGGAAGCGATGCGACTGTCTGACCACCAAGACGGAAAGAGACTTAAGCTGCTCCTCTATCTAGATTTTCTGGATTCAGAGACTTTGAATGTGAATAAACAAGGTGACTGGAAGATCAACTGTAATAGCGAAGTAGCAGGCTTCCTAGGGATGGAAATGGGGATGCGACAGGATCTGACCGTCCCCCCTACACACACACACACATTGCAGTCTTTCTCTCCTCTTTCCAGGGCAACCCAGAACTTAAAAGAACATGGTCAATGGATCATTCTGAGTAAAAGCCAAGGGCAGCTCATTTAAACATATGCAAATCAGGCTTAGCGGAAAAAGTTAACCTAGGTATGTACGCAGGCGGAATACTGTCAAGAAGAACAACACCATTTTTATTCACAGTATTCTGTGAGTAATAGCATCCAATTGTGAGTGGGGCCATTGTCAGCAGATCAAGTGAAGCCAAGCTGTTATGCAGTGTGGTGTAGAGGTTAGAGTGTTGGACTAGGACCTGGGAGACCAGGGGAAGAATTCAACATCACACTAAGGCAAATGTGTTTCATCAGAATGCTAGATGGAATGATTCCCCCCCCTCCTCTCCAAGCATGGTTATGCCCCCCCCCCGCTGATTAGCGGTACATGGGGGGGGGGGCAGAGAGGGAGGCAAGCACCATTCTGCAAACATATGAGACTCCTGCAGATGGAGTTTGTTAGGGTTCAAATCCCCACTAGGTCATGAAGCTTGCTGGGTACCTAAGACCAGATGCTCTCTTTCAGCCTAACCTACCTCTCAGGGTTGTTGTGAGGTTAAAATGAAGAGGGGGAGGAACATATACACCACCTTGAGCTCCTTAGAGGAAAGGTGAGAGAGAAATGGGTGGATGGATGGATGGATGGATGGACCCTAGGTCAGGCTATTTGTCCATCTAGTCCAGGAGAACGAACACAGGGTGCTTGTCTTATACTGAGTCAGACCACTGGTCCATGTAGCTCAGTACTGTTTTCACAGACTGTCAGTGGCTGCGTAGGGTCTCAGGCAGCGGCTATTCCTAGCCCTACCCGGAGATGCTGTTGTTTGAACCTGAGACCTTCTGTAGGCAAAACATGTGGTCTATCACCAAGATATGGCCCACTCTGCAGAATGCTGACAGATGACAGCCACACAGAGTGGCAACAGCTCAGCAGCATAGTATATGCTCAGGATCCATCCCTGCAATGTGTAGTTTGACCAGTGGTCACATCCGCACTGTCCGTTTAAAGCTCAGGGCTTTCCCCCAAAGAATCTTGGGAACTGTAGTTCATTAAGGGTGCTGGGCATTGTAGTTCTGTGAGGAGAAAACCAGAGCTTCTGGGGTAGTTTTATTTTTATTAGGGTAGTTTTAGTTTTATTATGGGGTGTGCTTAAATATGGATGGGGTGTGCGCAGTGCCAGATTTACGTATAAACTAAACAAGGTATAGCTTAGGGTCCCACTCTCTTGGGGGCCCCCAAAAAAATTAAAGGGAAAAAACCTGGATGTACATTTCCAAAATATAAGATAAAAAAACAAATAAAATAAAACCTACATACAGCAACAGTGATTTGTGTTGTGTAGGCTCCTATTTTGTTATGTGCAGATGGGTTTAGATACCTATTAGGTCCATAAATTACCATATAGCATATATCCAACACAAAAAACAGTGGCAATTTGTTGTTGACAAAGGACAGCTGGACATATAAAGGGCCCCATTACCTTCAGTAGCTTAGGGCCTCATAAAACCTAAATCCGGCCCTGGGTGTGCACAGCCTTAGGTTCAGCAAGAGATGGAGTCTGTGGGGATGAGCTGAAGGCTTTGTAGAAAGTGCACTTTTTTGAGGAGAGTTTTGGAGGCGGCTAGTGGCAGTAGACCTTGAGAGAAGGAGCAAATGTGCACCGTTTCTTAGCATGCACAATTTGACCTGCCTTGGCACAGGATCTGGGGGTACCTAGGTGCCAGATTTTGATGCCTGTCCCCTTATTGCAGGGCAGAATAGATACCCGGCCATGCTCATGCTTCCGCAAGCCTGTTGGCTGCTAAGGTGCCACTAAGTTTTAAAAATAAAGCCAACGTTACCACACGTCTATAAACACTGCAGTTGTGATAATTGTCAAGTTTTGCCTCTCCTCCTTGACCTGCCGATGTGGCATTGCTACCTTCCTTGATAGGAACAATGAGTCACACGGATTTCCTGAGGAGTGACTTTCAGAGTGTGAGGTTTTCAGTTCCGAACAATGCCAATTAGACGGTCCCCTGACACAAACAAGCACTTTTTTAAAAAGAAGAAGAAGATGCCTCTCACTAAAATAACTGCAATGAGCTGCTGGGCAGCTTAAAATACACCGCTTGCTTCTTGAAATAGAAGAGGGATGGGAAGAGACTTTCCGCATCAGATAACCTGATCCCTGCGTCCCTGAGATTAGCCAGTACTGAAATAAGCCACACACACACACACACACACACAAAATCACATTTCCAAAGCTGACTTTTAAAAACTACAAAGAGGATTTCAGAACAACAACCTCAAGCATCTGATCTTCTAGATGATTGTTAACAGCAGCAACAAACACCCACCAGGTTCTGCAACAAAAAATTGCAGAGTGGAATGCTCCCTGGTTGGCATTCCATCTACTCCATTGTGTTCCCTTCCCATCATTTTTTAAAAACAGCCCATCATCATCTCATGGCCTCTGGGCATGTTCTGTACATCATGGGATTTGGGGGTTCTTGCCCCCACAAAAATAAAATAAAAAGGACCACTCTCCTGAATCTATTGATGCTTGTTCCAGACTGGAGGGGGTTAAGGGGATCTCTGCTTGTATCTCAACGTCATCCCTTAACAGATGCACAATCCAGCCTGTGTGTGTGTGTGTGTGTGTTTCTAAAGTTCCTAAGCTGGTTTCCCTATCTGCAATGCTATCTCCCTGAATGGCATGGGACAGAACTTTCGGGTGCCCAGGCATCTATACAGCCAGGACGAATCTCGCATCTGCTTGATGAAAGGGCTCCCTTTGCAAGCACTTCCAATTCAAGGTTTAGCCCTTCGGGAGCAAGTTCTGAAGAGCACAGTGAGATTCCTGAAGATGAAACCATCAGCCCGAGGCTGCCGCTCTCGTCCTCTATGGTAAGAGGCAAGCTACACGTAAACTAAACTGGGTGATTACCGAAAATAGTCTGCTCTCCTTTTTGCGGCCCCTCGGGTGCATTCCATCTTGATAGCCTTCCATCTCGATCATCCAGTGGCAAAATGTCTTGCCTACAGGTGTGGTTAATATGGCTTCTAAAGTAATTTGTTTGCATATGATACCCCATTAACCTACTTCACGCGGACAAATAAGCTTGGCTCACGAACTGTGCCGCGTGGGAAAATTGCTTCTTGCAAGCCAAGTGAGCCCCGAAGAGCTGCTCCCTTTCGGACTAGAACCTATTGTGGAAGCAAGGTTTTTAAAACTGAGCTGGGTGGACATATGGGAAGAGGAGAAGTATTTTTTAGGGCACAGTGACTTGGTTCACATAATACGAATGGCTCATCCACACTGAAGTTAAATATGCCTTTGAAATTGCTCCTCTCTCTCTCTCTCTCTCTCTCTTTTACAGGAGCTACACAATGTCCAGCACATGCAAGTGCCAACACTTTGTCCCTGCAGACATGCCAAGGATGACTGGAGCCACTGCCAGTCAGTGTAGGCAATACTAAGTGGACCAGGAGGTCTGAGTATAAGGCAGTTTTTTTCTGTTCCCGAGGTAGCATGAATAAGATCTGAAGGGAAACCACAAAATTCCATCAGGTAAGAGGTGAATTCACACTTACATCCACTTCTCCTTGGTCGATTACGTAGAAGTTGTCTCCTTCATCTCCTGCAAGGAAACAAAAACAAGTTTTGATGGTTTTCACAAACCGTTTCCAAAACGGAGACAGCAGACTCTCGTGCAGACTCATGGAACCAGGCAAGAGCTCCCATTTCCAACTTGTGTATTTGGTTATTTCAAAATACCACCTTATATATTCATGATCAACAGGATATCGCTGGAAATTAAAGTATTCCTGCATTTTACTGCATAGCCATCTGGCAAGTAAGCGCATGACATGATGAACTGCCAAGTATATTAACTCTCATTAACACATCTTCAATTTCAGCTTTCCTTATTAATTCTGTTTCTAGCAAAGATACTCAGGCAGCTTTTCTTAAGTGAATTAAGGCCAGCACTACAGAAAGCTCATGTTTAGAGTGCCAGACCTAGGACCTGGGAGGCAGAGGGTTGAAATTCTCACAGAGCCCTGAAGCTCACTGGGTGTTCTTGGGCCAATCCTTGCCTCTCAGCCTAATCTGCCAGGGTTGTTGTGGAGAATAAACGTGAAGGCGGAGAATCGTGAACACTACCTTCAGCTCCTTGGAGAAGGAGGTGGGATGTAAATGCAATAAATAAATAAAATAAATAAATACATGCTACACTTCTGGCTGGTGCCTTCAAAGCCCATGGGTCACTTCTCCTGGGAAGGCGATTCTTCCACCAAATAAATGGCAGACAGGTGGAAAGGCAACTAAACCTCCTTCTCAGTCATCACTTTCTCCATCCAACTGCTCTCCCTACACTTTCCCAACAGTCTAAGTCAGTGGTTCTCAAACTTTCTTCTCTGGACCACACTTTCAGAATGAAAATTTGCTCACATCATGCCAATTTTTTAATTGACAAGAAATACATTGGGGGAGGGAATAAATAAACAACTCCTAGCAGTGCTTGATGGTGTTATAGAACACAACTACTTTAGAATACGGTCATGGGACATCAAGAAAATATAAAACAATGCAGCTACATAAGAACATGAACCATTCCCAAAATATAATTTTAAACTAGCCTCTTAGATATGTACCCTAAGCATGTGTACAAACTCGATGAGAAGTGCGAGCTTGCTTTTGCCGGGTAATCTTGTTTATATTAGGTCTAATTTAAGACCAAAAAAATGTGCATCTTCTCCTCAACACAAAGAAAGCTTTCTCTTTTCTCATCTTTCATATTTGTCAGAGTTGAAAATCCCTGCTCACAACAACAGGTTGAGCAGAACTGTAGAGCAGCCAGAGGCGTGGATACTGTCCCTGGTTGTATATCCCAACAAAATTATTTTGATACTATACTACACTACGTTGAAATGTTCAAATGCCTATTAGATTGTCCTTGAGCCTTCCCGCCATCTTCTCCTGCCAAACCCTTTGAGAACCATTGGCCTAGGTTCTGGACCAAGACTGGAAGGCCTGTAGCATGTTTTTCCTTTCTTTCTTTATTTATACAAACAACCAAAACCCAACAGTGAAACCCCCCAGGTGGCCGATACATTGAGCATACATAATCAATAATAACATATTCAAATCGACCATATGCACAATTCTATATGCATTAACACTCCTCGCTCCACAAGGTTTATTTAACTTTTAACAATTTAATTTCCCCAAATTGTTCAAATCTACCCAAATAATTCAGTATCTTCTCAAACCAATCCTCCTCTTTCTCACTGACCTTAAACCCTTTCATTCTGTGTATCTTCACAGTTAGATATTCTAAAATTATAATATTATTCAATTTTTTCCTCCATTGGTTCACCCCTAGCTCTTCTGCATTTTTCCAATTACTCGCTATAACCTGTCTGGCTGCAGTTACCACCAATTTTACCCATAACTCGGTGCTACTCAGGCTAATAAGAACCATTAATTCAGATATTTCCACCTTCCTACCCACAATTTCCAATATTTCTATACCAATCTGTTTCCAAAATTCATTAACTAATGGACAATCCCACCACCTGTGGCTTGTTGTTGAGCTTCAGCTCGAATCAACTTCATTCCCTGTGGCCAATGGTCAAGGATTATAGGAGTTGCACTACAGCAACTCTTGGAAGACCCATTTCCCACCCCTGCTCTAGACCCAGAAAACCCCGATGGGCGGCATGTGGCTGGGGGAGGAGTTGGAACAAGAGCAGAAGGCATGGGAAGGTCTACGTTCCTGTTACCCACTAGAGAAGTCACTCTTTCAGCCCCCCTTTTTGTAGAAGAGAGGCAGGGGCTGAGCTCCAAGGTCACAGCATTTCCCCCCAAACATGGATGTTCATGGAGCGATGCATTTCACGCTTCCACCAGACATATGCAGGGTAGGACGCTTACCCTGTTGTATGACAGTCTCTCCAGCAATGTGTGTGACAGGGAACATGGCATCAAATATGTCACTGCAAAAGAGAAAGAGACCTATTTAGAAGAAGAAGAAGAAGAGTTTGGATTTGATATCCCGCTTTATAACTACCCGAAGGAGTCTCAAAGCGGCTAACATTCTCCTTTCCCTTCCTCCCCCACAACAAACACTCTGTGAGGTGAGTGGGGCTGAGAGACTTCAAAGAAGTGTGACTGGCCCAAGGTCACCCAGCAGCTGCAGGTGGAGGAGCGGAGACACGAACCCAGTTCACCAGATTACGAGACTACCGTTCTTAACCACTACACCACACTGGCTCTCTGTCCTGCTTGAAAGCCTTCAGTTCCCCATGATGTGTGGATTCTTCACATTCAGCATGTAAAGAAGCTGGCATGTTGTTTAAGGTCGCTTATTTGCGGTAACTTAATGCAGAGCAGTTCACACACACACACACACACACACACACACGGAAAACTGTCAAAATGAAAAATAGTGATTTAGGACAGCTCCTAAACATTATAAACAGCAACAGCAAAACAATGAACTAGGCAATTAACATTGGTCCTAGTAACATAAATAATCATTGAAGTTTAACAATAATAATTTAATAATAAGAATAAGTAATTGGAGTTAATTGGAGGTAGGCATCGATGAACCCTTTTGTTTATGTATTTAAGTCTACAATTTGTGGAGATTCATATTCATATCTTCTCATACAACTGAGAACGGATGGTAGCTAATCCCTCTCTTTCTGCTTTTCCGGACTTCTTTGCACAGCGCCTGTTCTTGTTCCAATTTATTTTTTTTCCCCCTTGTTTAACCCAAGTGATTTTGCTCAGGAGTTGTCAGTTCCCATAATTTAATAAGCTATCCCCTTAGACAGAGACATTCTCTCTCTTCCCCCCGCCTCCCCCGGTATTTTGCATATAAAATCCTTGCCGCTAAAAGCATATGAAATAATAATTTCTCTCTGTGTCTTTGGGAACCATGACAGCGAATGCCTCTTTACAGCCTTTAATGACATTCTCATACAAGAAGAAATGTGAACATTTTCAAAACTTGAAATCCTGATGAATGCTGGGATTTCCATGAGTCAGCCCACACAGTTCATAAGAGGGCTGGGCCTACTCAGTGCCAGTGGCAGCTGCCCATTGGGAATGATTGGGCAGAAGGCTGGTAGGCCAACAGTAGGGGGCGCCAGAGCCAATGACAAATGTGCTAATTCTTGTCCCCCCATCGTCCTCCCTGCTGAATTCTAATCCCATACAGTCATACCTCATGTTATGTCCGCTTCATGTTACGTTCTTTCAGGTTACATCCCTCAGCGACCCGGAAGTACCGGAAAGGGTTACTTCCGGGTTTCGCCGCTCGCGCATGCGCAGACACGCAAAATGATGTCATGTGCAGAAGCGGTGAATCGCAAGCCACGCGTGCGCAGACGCGCCACTGCAGGTTGCGCTCTTTTCATGTTGCAAACGGGCCTCCGGAACGGATCCCGTTTGCAACCTCAGGTTAAGTACTTAATTCGTTCCGGAGGTCCGTTCTTAACCTGAAACTGTTCTTAACCTGAAGCACCACTTTAGCTAACGGGGCCTCCTGCTGCTGCTGCGCCGCCGGAGCCCGATTTCTGTTCTTATCCTGAAGCAAAGTTCTTAACCTGAAGCACTATTTCTGGGTTAGCAGAGTGTGTAACCTGAAGCGTATGTAACCTGAAGCGTATGTAACCCGAGGTACCACTGTACTGTTTTATACCACAGAGGTTCTGGTTTATTTTCCTCTTGCTTTTGTTGCGCTATAGCCCTTCCAGACAGCGATAATTTAGTAGCATTGGGGAAAGATAACAGAACAACGAATAAAGCAGAATAAATCCACCACTAAGGCAGTAATATTGTGTCAATGAAATATTGCAGAACACATGCACAATAAAACACCGGTGGCTAAAGACATAATACTATGCGCTTCAAGAAGAACTGTCCAATTGCTTCCTACTGAAGCAGCAGACAGAACAACAAGGTGTTGCAAATTCATTTATTGCCACAGGGCGCAGAGAGAAGGTACATTGTGGGATGCAGAGGGAGGCTGTGTGCACATTTAAAGCACATGGTTCCCCCAAATAATACTGGGAACTGTAGTTTGCCTCTCAGAGCTACAGTTCCCAGCACCCTTAACAAACGACAGTTTCTATTATTCTTTGGGAAAGTCGTGTGCTTTAACTGTATGTTTTAAGTTGAATACAAAAGATGCATAAAAAAGCATTATTATATGAAGTGAGAGAGGGAAGGGGGGTTCAGAGAGATCTGTGATGGATCAGGGAAATGAGACTGCCTGCTCCAGGGTGCTGTGGCAAACAAGACGTTAACAAAGCATGGGATAATGAGTTAAACATGATAATAAAAATTCTTTCTGGTGATTAATGCAGTTGTGCAGCTCCCTTGAGTTAATATTGTTTTAATGGCCTTTGGAGTGATTTGAGTTGCGCACCCCTGGTGTACAGCACATTCCTCAGCATGCCACATGAGCAAGGAGAACAAAGGGAATTCTTATAATAATAATAATAAATAAAAAAGATTCACCCAAATAGCCGGGAGGTCAGCAACTAACCTGTGGCAAATTTTCGCTCCCATATATGGGAAACTGAGCATTGCAAAATCTCATTATTAGCTTATTTCCTGTCCAGCAGTTCCAAAATTCACTCGCTCAGGCTTGGATCTAGGAAACACCCGGTCATAAAGTTGAACCAAAGCACTATCGTTTGCTCCTGAAGAGTTATATTTTCGCCGGAGAGCCTCTGTTTGATTGAGAGGCAGACAGGGACTCGGCTAAGGGAGTGGCTGGCAGGCTCAAGGCTGCCCCCTGCTGGGGAAGCCACTGTGGGGATTGGGATGCTTCTGTAGAGGTGGCCAAGGGGCCTCCGGGAATTGATGGCCTCACTGCATCCAGCTCCCATTCCAGATGTGGCCAATGAAGATGTGAGGGGATGAGATGGAACGTGCTCATAAGGCTTTCTTTGCCGACTGGAGAGTATGCCCCAATTTCATGGCTATCATTGGCAAATAGTCATGATGGCTATATATTACCTCAGGCGGCACAGGACTCTGAACGCTGGAGAACATGATGGGATAAGGCTACTGCATTCCTGCCCTGCCTGTGAGCAACCCACAGGCATCAGGCTGGCCACTGTGGCTTTATTTTCTTCCTATGTGGGGCTGCTGAAAGGAGAAACGTGTTCAAAGTCACCACAATCCTTATTTTGAAGTGCCCCTCGGAGCCAATGTTTTGCCCCCTGTCTCTGGTTGGTAGGCCTCAGGGCTCTTGTTCGAAACAAAATGAAGCGGATCCAGTGACTCTGAAGGAAGGCCGGCCCTACCATTTGGCAGTTGTGCAGCTGCGACCTCAGGCAGCGAATGTTGGGAGTCTTGGAAAGGCTCCCCTTGGGCCTGTTCCGGAGTCTCCAGCTGCTACAAGATGCTATGGTGAGACTGTCAATGGAGGAAGATTGGCGCCAGCACGCAACTCTGGTGATCAAAAGTCTGCACTGGCTGCCCATACACTGTTGGACCAGGTTAAAAGTATCTGAACAGTGGTACCTCGGGTTACATACGCTTCAGGTTACAGACTCCGCTAATCCAGAAATAGTACCTCGGGTTAAGAACTTTGCTTCACGATGAAAACAGAAATTGTGCTCCAGTGGCGTGGCAGCAGCGGAAGGCCCCATTAGCTAAAGTGGTGCTTCAGGTTAAGAACAGTGTCAGGTTAAGAACGGACCTCCGGAACGAATTAAGTACTTAACCCGAGGTACCACTGTATTCATTTACAAGGACCCTACATACCCTCCAGCATCTTGAGTCCCAACCACACGAGATCCCAGAGCCCAAAAGACACACATATTCGGTGTTGTGCTCCCACAGAAACCAAAAACACACATTTTGGGGTGCCATGCGAGATTGTGGCCCAGAAGAAAGCACTCCCCCCCCCCCGGGGAGAAGCGCTTTCTTCTGGGCAAGATCTCAGCACAAAATCCTGCCATATCGCAGCACCCAAAATGGCCGCCGTGCTGTCATGTGAGAAAACGGGATGTCCCGTTTTTCCCAGGACACTTGACAACTTGGGTCTAGAATATGTCAAGGATTGCCTGATCTCTTATAGCCCTGCCTAATCACTGAGATCTTGTGAGGGGTGACTGTTAGTGGATCCCCCATGACACAGATGCACAGCTTGGATCCAACAGTAGCTGCACGCTCAATACTGTGGGCCCAATTTTATGGTCAGGTGTCCCCCTTGAACCTCCAGCACTTCTGGATAATCTTTCATCTTATTTCCAGCAGGTTTTTTAAACTGAATTCTGATTTTAGAGTTTTAACTCATTTTAAGTCGTATTGTATCGGGTCTCCTTTGATGAAGTGACATAAAAATTGTCGAAATAAACAGTAACATAGTAAGGTAAAGGTAAAGGTACCCCTGCCTGTACGGGCCAGTCTTGACAGACTCTGGGGTTGTGCGCCCATCTCACTCAAGAGGCCGGGGGCCAGCGCTGTCCGGAGACACTTCCGGGTCACGTGGCCAGTGTGACAAAGCTGCATCTGGCGAGCCAGCGCAGCACACGGAACGCCGTTTACCTTCCCGCTGGTAAGCGGTCCCTATTTATCTACTTGCACCCGGGGGTGCTTTCGAACTGCTAGGTTGGCAGGCGCTGGGACTGAGCAGCAGGAGCGCACCCCGCCGCGGTGATTCGAACTGCCGACCTTTCGATTGGCAAGCCCTAGGCGCTGAGGCTTTTACCCACAGCGCCACCCGCGTCCCTAAACAGTAACATAGAAGGCGTAAATAAAAGGCACGCGATTGTTAGTCACAGAGAGCATTGTTGTATTTTTACCAGCAGGGAAGGAGAAAACTGCCTCTGAAGTTTTCTGCTGAGGGTTAGTAGCTAAGGATACTATGGGAGTGCGCAGGACGAAGCACTATTTGTTTTACCTCAGGCGAGAAGATGCCTTGGGCTGGCCTTGGCCTGAACTCTGCCCAAACTTGCTCCAGAATCTTCTGCAGTGCGGAAACGCAGGGCTTCCTCAGCTGAGACAACCCTTTGTAAACAAAATTCTCTGAAAGTCTGAAAACCGCTAGGCAAACATTGGCGTAGGAGCTTATGGCTCCATGGCTGAGTTCTCTGTGAAGGAATGGTATATCTTTTGTGAGAGCAATGCCCTTGTTCAGTGTTTCTTTCTTTTCATACATATATTTTTTTGAAAGCTGACGTCTTTAGCTCATGGGGGGGGGGAGGTAGGGAAGTGCCTGTCACAAATTCATAATTTAAAAACCATTATAATCCGTAGATTAAGGCTTGACAGACCCGACAGGTGTTCTGCATTTTCCTTGCTCTGCTGAACTTTTATTACCCAAGACAAAGGACGTGCCTCAAGGCACCCAACACCCTCAACTGAGCCCACAAGGAGAGCACCTCACAGGAGGTGGGGTGGAGCAGGAGCAGTCAAAGCCGCATGTTTATTTGTTCTTTTGTTTATTTATTACCTCTGTTTATTATTATCCCGCCTTCTGAGCCAAAGGATTTTCGGAACAGCATGTGAAGATGATGTTGAGAAGGGCAAACAATGTCAAACACATTTTAAAGGCTGCAGTTCCAGCAATCCCGGGATAAAAACCAAAAGAGCCCAGATTCGAAGGAGACAGAGGGCCCTATTTCAACCTTGGACTCATTTGTGCAAGGGAAATTGGGGGGGGGGCGCTGCGGGTGAACCCCACACCCAAGCATCTTTACAGCCCTCCAAAAGCTGATGGGAAACTGCTAAATCAGGCAGCCTCCTGGACCTGTGAAGGCTCCCAGTGCAATTTACAACCCTGCACATGTATTATTATCTAGAAGAATTATATACCGCTTAATGAAAAAGGTGGGGTACAGAGTCAATAAAAATGAAATAAATAAAATTGAGTGGGAAAGTGCTGACGCCTCCTAGTTAGCCAATCTCAGAATAAAATACTGGACCTAATAAGCTGCTGATCAGATCCTGCAAGGCTCGCTGTACATTCTTATGTTCTCTCCCCTCTGTGGACCTCAGGACCAAACAGCCTGGATAGCTCAGTTGGTTAGAGTGTGGTGCTGATAACGCCAAGGTTGCAGGTTCAATTCTGTAAGGGAGATGTCATAGGCCAGGGATCAGCTTCACCTGTTGAGCAGCAGCCTGAAGGAGCAGGAAGCAGAGTGACCCCACCTGCTGCTGATCAGCCTTCTTGCTCCTGATAAGAACCAGCTGGCTCCAGCTTTCTTATGCTGGGTTTCCAGCCTCAGTCAGTTGCTGGAAACAACATTTGTCGTTCCTGGCCAGACCTTGCTGCTTCTTGCGACCTTGGACTCTCAGCTTCCTTGACCCCTGGACTGTCTGATTGCGTGAACTGAGATACTCCTGACCTTAGGACTGGACTGAACCTGGCATATGGACTCTGCCCCCAGGCAAGTACCCCCCTGAGACGTGGCTGGTTGGCTGGCCTCACCCACCACTGAGCTCTGCTGTGACTGAGCAGCGTGGGACTACAACAGGATAGCTGCATATTCCTGCAGTGCAGGGAGTCAGATGAAATGTTCCTCATGTTCCCTCCCAACTCTGTAATTCTATGATCTAGGAAACTACCATCCTGGTGTGCAGAGCTCTGCTGGTCCATTCTGCCTGGCCTCATACTGTAATCAGAAAACCTTCCCAAAGTCCCTGCGAGGAGGAAGAGAGGTTAAGTGCAGGAATTGCTGAGTGCTTTTTTGATACCGTGCTCTACCACAATACATCAAATTCTAAGCAAAAAAAGAAAAAGGTACAAGCATGTAATGTTAAGGTTCGTGTTAGCTAGATGAGCAAAAAGAAGATGGGAGAATTTGTTCAGACACGAAAGTTTTATCTACTGGATAATGACCAAAAATACCCCAGCTGCCTTCTCTAAGAAAATCAAATTTTAGAAGATTTTTCTTTTCTTTTTTAATGGCTGTGGCTATCAAAGACTTGCTGCAGGTTTTAACACGCAGAGAGCCCTGAAAGCTACTGAAGTTTCTTCTAGAGTTATAAATACCATCTCTGTCTTGTAACGCATATAGTCATTCATACTTATGCAAAGAGGACTGGAAGACTCTGTGTACAAGAAGTGTGTAAATGATGGCACATTAGCTCACCTGCAGAGGTATTTTGGCATCCGTTCCAGAAGGCTCACGACACATTTCTCCTGAGTAAGACTTTTAAATCCCAGTATCACTTCTTACTAAGAAATCCCAGCGGTTCCAGGCCTCCCATGTGTTTGCCTACACTCGGTTAAGTAAATATTGCTGATGCTCCTTTTCAAAAGCTTCCTCCGGGTCTTTCATGCTGAACACTACAAAGTAGGAAATGGCCCTCCTCCTCGTCTGTAATAAGCTGGCTGCCGATGTCTTCAAATGATAACAACCAGCTCTGAGCAAACATCACAGGCACCCTTCACAGCAAGGACAATGGACGTTGCCACCCCACAAACCACTTAATCCTGAACTTTTGTACTCGACGCTGCCTTACTCCTTTGGGCTCAAACCTGAGGGCCGGTTCACCCAGGTAGATAACGTCACTTTGTTCCTGGATTGTTAAACAGTCATACCTCATGTTACATTTGCTTCATGTTACGTTCTTTCAGGTTATGTCCTGCGGCGACCCGGAAGTACCAGAAAGAGTTACTTCCGGGTTTCGCCGCTCGTGAATGTGCAGAAACGCTAAATCGTGTTTCGCACATGTGCACAAGCGCCAAATCGCGCCACGGACCTGCACAGATACGGCGCTTCAGGTTGTGCTCTTTTCATGTTGCGAATGGGCCTCCAGAACGGATCCCGTTCGCAACCAGAGGTACCACTGTATTCACTTATGGGTGACATCTGAATGCACGAATTTTATACACTGAAAAGTGTTGTGTTTGAGGGGATGGAAAAGCTGTGTGTGTGTGTGTGTGTGTGTGTGTGGTTTGTTTCATGATGGCCTATTCGCATAGCCTGAGGATTAAATTCAGCTCTGAATGACTTGGGACTAGGTTACCTGAAAGACTGCCTCTTCCACCTGACCCAATGCTTAAGAACCTCTTTGGACGCCATGCGCTGGGTGCTCCCTCTGAATGAAGTGAGGTGGGTAAACACCATAGAGTGGGCCTTTCTACTCTTAGCATCTGCTTATGGAGCAGCCTTCCAAAACAGGCTGGCCTGATGCCATCTTTGTACTCTTTTGGGTACCAGGCTAATATATGTTTGTTTATCCGGGCCTTTTAGAAAACTGACGTAATCTGGGCCTCTTGGTTGTCTTTAAAATTGTTGTTTTAACTGTGGACCAATCAGCGCTGCACATTTAAAACAGTATTATACCACTTTAAGCAGTACCCTTAACAAACGACAGTTCCCATAATTCTTGGGGGGGGGGGGACATGAGTGTTTAAATTAGTACCATAGCACTTTTTAATATATATTTTTACTGGGGGGAAATACAAAGTGCACAGAGTGAAATAAGGCACAAAAAGAAACAAGAAATGGTACCCATGCAGAAAACAAAACAGAACAAAAAGGATATTGCGTACATTGCAAAAAGGGGGGGGGAGGATTGTTACTGTAGTGAACCAGACCTTAACCTAATGTGGTATTTATAAAAATGAAATGGAATTCATCATAGTGTTTTAAATGCATGGTGTGAATGGGGCTCTGGTCAATAGAGCAGCACCTTCTGACTGATGCGCTTCTGCTTTCAGCTCTTCCCTCTCCCAGTTTCACCACCGCCCTCTCCTTGTTTCAGTCCAGGATCCACATTCATTTGAGTGCCCTTCCCAAGGACCACATGCCCATGGCGGACTGGGCCAGAGGCAAAATCAGGAAGAGCAACGTACAGAAGTTTTACCTCAGTACAGGCAGTTTCTATGCACACTCGCACACCCCTCTCATCCGAACCCCTGGGCCATCTGAAGACAATCATGTATAGGTATTTTTTTTAAAAAAAATGTTTTATTCTGTTTATATAGATATATTGGAAGCTGCCCAGAGTGACTGGGGCAACCCAGTAAGATGTGTGGGGTAGAAATAGTAAGAATTATCGTTATGGAATGGGAGGTCCCTATTTTCATCGGAGAAATGTTGGAGGGTATGCTCTCTATCCAGGCAACCAAGAGGCATCATAGGAGTCCAATAATGCATTCCTGTCAAGGGGAAAAACTCAAGGAAGGAGTGAATCGGGGCCAGTAGGTGGTGTGACTGGAAAAGGCGAGTGGCCTGAGGAGAGCCCAGAGGTCTGGGAGGCTGCAAATGGCCCTGGGCCTGAGGTTCCCCAGCACTGCTCCCCAGCCCTAGATTTAGGTGTGGCTCCCCACAGCCCCCACCAGGCCCCCGTGCTGCTGTACAGGCTGAATGCCAGCTACGTAATTTACGCTTTGTACTAGGATCAATGAAGGCCTTCCAATGCAGTTTCAAAAACTTGCTTGTGATGGGAGTCTTGCTTTCCTTATGAAATGGCGGGCATTAATGAGCCCAGTTTATTCATCAGTCTCAATCAGCTTCAGGGTGTGTGTATCTCCTGCTTATCTGTCCCCAAGAGCTTAGCAGCAGCGGGTTTTGGGCTCTCAAATGTCATGGCTCCCTGTGCAATGCTAAAATTCAGCGCCCCCTGCCTCTCTGTTCTGCAGTGATGTTTCGGCGCCCCCAGCAGCATGGCGTCAGGTGCAGCCGCACCCTAAAAACGCCTCTGCGCTTAGTTCCACATCTGCATGCGTGAAGGAGCTGAGGAATATATGCAGGCCCTGGTGAGCACATGTTTACCTCATGGCGACTTGCAGCACTGTTGCAGCAGCACGCTGACCAAAAAGGGAGAGCCTGTTTTACTCAACAACATTGTTCTGAAAGCCTATTTTCCCCTTCCCTCCCCGCCCCAGACGGCAAATCCATTGAATGTTTTGTTGTTTTAATTGGTAGCAGTTGTACAGCACCCAAATTGAATGGAGCACCTCCTTTTTTCAGAGGTTTAGCACTTCACACACAGGAGTCGGCTGAGAGAGATGCAGGCCTCTGGGCCTGACTGCCAGATTTCACTGTCTGCCCTCCTTTCTTGTTGTTTTCAAATGATAAAGCAGCTGAACGGCTCAGCCAGGACACTTCCACACCTGCCAGGATTTTACTGGCTGGACCAGAATTTCATCCTCATGCATAGCTGCCAGAACAGAAGGATGGAAAGCCAGAAAAGTCTATGCTCAGTGCTTTCATTATAAACTTCTAGAAATTGTGCTTTAATTTATTTATTTAAAAAAAAAATAGCACTCTTGGGTACACTCCGCACATGTTTGGAGACAGCCCTAATAGATTAGTCAGCTGATTAAAGAAATTTAAAGCTGCAGTCTTTGATATGAGCTCTATTGAACACATTCGGACTGAGGCTCAAACTACATGCTGCATAGCTTTATGGCAAGGGGCCTGATCCAGATCAGGAGCCAAGCATAAGCAAATAAGAAGAGCCTTGCTGGATCAGGCCAATCCAGGATTCTGTTCTCACAGTGGCCAACCAAATGGCTGTGGCTAAACCAGCAAGCAGAACCTAATACACAGAGACTTTAAGCCTTTACCACCCCCATCCACTGTAGTCCCAGTCCACATAGGGGATCCATGCCTGCAATTTGCAGGGCCAGATAGAGAGACTTGGAAGGGCAGTTTGGGCCCTCAGGCCTGAAGCTGTCCACCCCTGCCCTAGAGCCCACCAGTTACAGAGACCCACCCCTGCAACACAAAATGGCTCGATCTCCCTCAGCCATTCTCTCCCAAATGAAAATGCAGGAACCTGGTACATAAGATAGACGAGACAGTTTTATGAGCAGGAATAAGCACCTGCTACTTTAAATTTCAGATAATTAATGTGCCGTGATTTTGTTGGGTTATAAATACCAATCTAGTAAACATGATGCTATTTTAATCAAGCTGCCTCTCTATTACGCTTAAAAAACAAAAAGACTCGGGTGGTTGGGGTGAGGGATAATGACAACTATTATTGATTCTGGATTTTCATGTCCCATTTTTATATTTTCAGAGGAAACGTATCTAATGCACATTTGATACTACCTTACCATAAAAGAATACAGTATAATTCTGGCTCATCCACATGAGTTGGGGGACACTGTTTTTATGGTGGTTTCACTCCTACTTACAAGGTAGCATTGAGTGACACTGACTCAGCCCTCCGAACCTAGGTGGCTGCCTTCAAACTCTCTCTCTGCCCCCGCTTCTTATCCTTTCTCCTTCTCCTCCTCACCTTCCACCTGGAGCTACCAAACCATGGCAGATCCTGATGGAACTGAAGAGCCCTTGGCACATAATGCCTGACCACTACTGGTTGGAGGCGATGGGAGTTTCGAGTCCAAAAACCTCTGAAGGATGCCACATTGGGTATCCCTGCTACAGAGAGAGCCCTGGTTAACATTGTTAGGATGATGCAACATTTCTCAAGTCCCTAGGCGCGCACACACACACACACACACACACACACCAACCATGTTGCTTCAGAAGGAAGAGAAAGTGGAAATGACCATCATGAACTAAAGTGTTACCCTTCGCTCCATGCTGAACTTCTGGGAAAGGAACCTTCTGCACAATTGTGGATGGAGCTTAGAGAATGAATGGCAGGCAGCAGTGGGGAGTGAGAAGGGAAGGAACTGGCAAATACTGAGTTCTGGTGCCAGCTGCCAAAAGATATCATGATTGAGCTCCTGAGGAAGCTCATTTGAAGAAACCCCTCCCTTCCTCTTACGTCTCTGCATCCCCTTCACACCAGCAGCTTTACAGCAACTCTTTTCCTAAGCCTTATTGTGACTACGGATGAATGCAGAATTTCTATTCATATATATATATATATATATATATATATATATATATAGGCGGATCTACTTAATTCACACCATCTGAAATAATACCCAAGCTGAAACATAGCCATGTTTTGAAATTTGCACTCCTCTGAATTTTGCAGTGCAGTTCCACAGCCAACTAATTTGTGCAAAGATGCATTTGCTAGTGCAAAGTGTGCATGAAAATGCATGTATTGGTGAAAACGGCATATGAGAATGCATTGTAGACAGGGAAATTGCACTGCAAAAATGTGTCTGTTAGGCAGAACTGCAGACAAAAATGTGTACGTTATACACAGAAAACTCTGCTGAATTTTCATGAGGACTTGTTTCCTAAGATATCACAAAGTCATGTTGAAATATGCAGAACTGAACTTAAGCATGGGGAAATGGGGTGTTAAAAAGGCACTGATTTCTGCCCTGCCCATCAGTCACATGCTGCACTGTGTCTGCTTCACTGCAGTTCAGCTTATCGCAAAAACTACATTATTCGCCTCGCTGTCCACTGTAGTGGAATTTTATGTCATCAGTTACATAATTAATGACATCGCCATTACCATATTCCATACCGTTCACTTCAGTGCAAGGAAATGCTATGCAAATGGGAGGCAGGGGACAGTCATCAACTGTGTATTGCTTGTGAACTGAAAACAACCACAAGTACTGACTGCACTCTGTTGAAATCCCCCCTCAGTCATGGGTGATCATGGGGCAATCACTATCCCTCAGCCTGACCTACCTCACAGGGTTATTGTGGGGATTAAATGAGGAGGGAGAGAACCATGTACACCACCTTGAGCTCCTTGGAGAAAAAGCTGGGGTACAAAGGCATAGAATCATCAAATAGTATAGTTGGAAGAGACCCCAAGGGTCATCTAGTCCAACCCCCTGCAATGCAGGAATCTTAACTAAAGCATCTATGACAGCCGGCCATCCAACTTCTGCTTAAAAGCCTCTAGTGAAGATTAGTCCACCACCTTCCGAGGGAGTCCGTTCCACTATCTCTTCCCATCTGCTCTTTGTTGGCTATTTGCAGTTTAGTAGCGCTGCAGAGAGCTTGCTGGGGGGACCATGGATTAAAAAGGGACTCAAAAATAACTTAAACAAGGTTTTAATAACAAAAACAAAAATTCCTTATACACTAAATACATCATCAACAAACCAGACCCAACCACCAACCCATCCCCCAGGGTAATGGGAGAGCTAGGTGCTGCTCCTTATATACTATACCCAATTGCTGACACAGCTTGATTAACACAACTCAGCAGCACCTGCTATGTTTCACAGCTGTAAGACTGGGTCTCCTTATTTGCCCTGGCCCTTAAAGACATACACAACTTGTGAAACAATAATGAACCTTCACATTTTAAAGTGACCATTCAACACGCTTACCATCAGAAAGTTCTTCCTAGTATTTAGCCGGAATCTCCATTAATATCCAACTACCCTTCCAATTCAAAACCTGGCAAATTAGCATGTTGTTGCTTGTTGCCTAAAGACAGACAATGGCAACAGGCTGGCTTCCCTGAGAAGAGCATTCCACAAATGGGGAGCCACCGCTGAAAAGGCTATGAGTATTGAACAGACGAGAGAAAACCTTTGGATCTGTTAGGTTCCCTGGCATCACTTCTGATGAATGGTGAGATAAAAACTGCTTGAATAAATTATCACAATATAATATAGTTGCATTATATCTCCTTCATGTCAAGACCAATCTCCAGAGCTAGAGATCCGTGCTGGAAAGAAAAGGTATAATTCTTTTACTTGCCCTATATTTTTCATTTTCTTGATCTAACAAAGTAAACCACATGAACACCCGAAATATCCAATTAATTCTGTTTTTACCTCAGCTGTTAACTGATTCCATTTATTTAATTCTTCTTGATAATTAACTCTCTTCTTCAGCATTGCTGACAACTTAATGAAGCTCAGTTGTTTCCAGATTTTTCTGATTACCCTGCTTTGTTGGTTGACATGTTCTCTTCTGTGCTTTGGCAAACAACAGCTTTGAAATGGTCAAAACACGTAGGATCTGGATCTCACAGGAATATAGGGGCTGAATTCTTTTTTTAACAAAATCTAATAAGTAACTCAGCTTGCGAGCTTTCTCTTAA